AATATCCACTAATTGTAATAGACTGTTCTAGACAGAATGAAACAGTGAAGGAAGGAATTGTTGATATTAAATTAGAGATTGAAACTGCAGAAAATGTACCAGCAAATACATCTGCATATTGTTTGATAATACATGACAAAGTGTTTGAGTACAATCCTTTGTCAAATGAGATAAATAAAATGTAAATAAAAGATGAAAAACATTCAACAAGAATTGGTTGACTCTGCAAATCAAATACGAGAAAAATATAGAGCTTTAAAACGTGGCAAGTTTCTAGAGGCTGAAGAGAGGTTCCAAACATTCCAACCTTTAATAGAGCCATTACAAGAATTAAAAAAAATCACATCAGAGAGGCCTCAAATGGAGATACTCCCAATGACTCCATCTAGAATATCAATGATACCAAGATTACAACCATTACAACCATTACAGCAATCCACTCCACAGAAATTAGATTTTGGACTTTTAGCATCAGACTATTTAGGAAATTACCTCAGTAAAAGTAGTATGACAGACACTACATATGGTATTAGACGAGAAGCAAATACATTTTTTATTGGAAATAAGGAAGTTGATATTGCCAATGATGATGTTACAGTTGCAAATAAAACCTACAAGGGGACAACAGGCTTGTGGCAGTTGTTAACTTTAAAAGAACCTGAGGATTATACTCAGGCTGATTTGCAAAATTATAAAGAGATTTTGGAAGCTACAAATGGACATTTAAAGAGTTACAAAGACGGTGCACCAATTTCAAGTAATAGACATACTAAATATCTTAATATAATTAAACCACTATTTAAATCTGTTGGTGAAGGTTTGAGACAAGTGACTGGTAATAAAATAGACTATATTTATTGGGATGATCCTAATGAGCTTGTAGATAGGTTAAGACTTCTTTGGCTAAGTCGCCAAGCCGGTAACTCTGGAGTGGATAATGAAATAGATTCCATTATTGAGGAATTGAGAGAAAGTGGAATTATTTATTAAATAAAAATATGTTTATAGATAAATTTTATCGTTTATATAATCCATATAATAAGCCTGCAGAACCCAGGGCTAGTAATGAACCTACTTTAAATTTACAAGACGATAGTTGGAATTGTTTAAACCGTAAAATTGGTAATGTTAAAGATGGGGAGTTTGTAGATGATGTATCAACTTTGGGTCAGACATTAACTAGAAAAGGTGATGTATTTTTACAAGGTAAAACTAAATATGAGTTTTTAGAATCTAAGAATAAAAATTGGAATGCTAAAAAACAGAAAATTACTAATGTGGAAAAGGGTGAAAGTTTAGATGATGTGCCCACTTTACAACAGACTTTAATACGTAAAGATGGTGGTACATTTGTACAAGACAATAATAATTTTGAATTTTTAGAATCAGAAAATGGTGTTTGGAATGCTAAGAAACGGAAAATTACTAATGTGGAAAAGGGTGAAAGTTTAGATGATGTGCCCACTTTACAACAGACTTTAATACGAAAAGAAGATGGTAAATTTGTACAAGACGATAATAATTATGAAATTTTAGAATCAGAGAATGGTGTTTGGAATGCTAAGAAACAGAAACTTAGCAATTTAATGGAAGGTACAGATAGTAAAGATGCTGTGAATGTTTCACAAGTTCCAAAAATGGAAGCAGGCTATTGGGATTTTAATAATAAAAGGTTAGTATGTGTTAAACCTGCCATTGATGACACTGACTGTGTTACAAAAGAACAGACTATAACTTTTGATAAAAAAGAAAAATGTTGGGATGCCAAAAAACAATATATAAGAAATCTACCGATGGGGGAATATTTAGATGATATTTGTTTAATGTCACAAGCTATGTATTATGATGGATCAAAATTTGTATATGCAGGAAGAAAATTTAATTTGATGGAATACAATCCTGATTTATTAGTTGCCGACCCTACATCTTTGAGCGGATTTAAGTATATAGATAATAGACCATATATACCAGAAAACTATGTATTTAAAAGAATGGAAGATAATCTATTGATTGGGGCTAATGGTAATATATTTACAGTACAAGGAAAGAATGATGTTATAAAAAATCAATGAAATTGCATACGAACTTCATAAGCCTGCAAGAAAGAATTTCATTAGAAGGTCTTTTAAAGTATTAGGTATAAACGAAACTGTACAAATAGATTTAATTGATATGCAAAACTATGCTAGAGAGAATTCTGGCAATAAATATATTTTAACTTTAATAGATACATTTTCTAAAAAAGCTTATGCTGCTCCGCTAAAAAATAAGACAGGGTTGGTGGTTACAGAAGCCATTAAAACCATTCTACCCAAGGGGGTTAAAAACATTCAATCCGACAATGGAAAAGAATTTTTTAATCAATATTTTAGCAAACTAATGAAAAAATTAAATATTAATCACTATCACACATATTCTACAACTAAGGCTGCAATTGTGGAGAGGTTTCAGAGAACTTTAAAGAATTGGTTATATAGAGAATTTAGTGCTCAGGGGAGTTATAAATGGTTGGATTTACTTCCAAAGTTAATTCGAAAATATAATAATAAGGTGCATAGATCTATAGGAATGAAGCCTAACCAAGTGAATATTAAGAACAGTAAATATGTGCATGAGAGGTTGACTTCTAAAGTAGTGCAAGTTAAAAAGGCAAGATATAGGGTAGGTGATAGCGTAAGGATTTCCAAGTATAAACATGTTTTTAGTAAAGGATATACCCCGAATTGGACAGGGGAGCTATTTACAATAGCAGAAGTAAAGAATACCAAGCCTGTGACTTATATCTTGAAAGATGAAAATGGTAATATAATCAGGGGAGGCTTCTATACAGAGGAATTGTTAAAGACCAAATATAAAGACATGTATTTGATAGAAAAGGTTATTAGGAGAAAAGGTGATTTATTATATGTCAAATGGCTTGGGTTCCCAAGTAGCCAGAATTCATGGATTTCCACTAAGGATGTCCAAGGGAGCGCGCCATGAGCCGGGAGCGCGCCCGAGTTCGCGTACAAACCTCACTCGATTTTGAGAATATACATGTGAATGGATGTGGATTTGAAATAGTAATGAAGTTGTACAATGGTATTGAACATTTATATAGGCTTGTATAGGCCGAGAGCTGGATTTTTAAAAAAGTGGTCAAAAAAAGCTCACCATGTTATTCTTATGGGGAAAACGTGCCTAAAGTGGCGTTAAACCCGTATGTTGCCTCTACTGCTAGCTGTCATAATGAATGTATAATTTTGTACAAGCACCCCGAAAAAGTGTTTCTAAGTAGCTCACTATCAACACCAACAACATTTTGCCGTTCGTAATTATTATTAAGATTGCTTCTAAGAATGGTAAAAACGCACCTTGTCAGACAATCCTATAAAATATACCAGTGTCCGAATTTTACTTGCTACATATGTTTTGGTGGTTCTTTAACTCCGTCATCGTCAGGATTTACAAAAGATCCATTTCTGGAGGTGTCGTCAGAATACGTTACAAACATTTAACACAAAACACGAAACTATCAATTCACGCGTGTACATTGCCGTCGGCAGGACTGGAAGTAAACTGAATCAGGTTCAGGTTATGACTGACCGAGGTCTCTGGATTGTCGTCTGCGTTTTAAATAGCTGATATTGGACTATTGTGGTGACTGAGAAGAGTATTGAAAATATAATGGGATTCATAATTAACTAAGTGTTTTCACTAAAAAAAATTGTCCTGTCCCTAGTTTTATGTATTTATATATTTCAAACTCCTCAAAGCATTTAAATTTCCTTTCGCGCAGAACTGTAGAATTTCGAGACCATCCAGTATATAAATTGGTTATTATTGTCAATAATTATGAATGGAAAACTCAATTATGAATCCCATTATATTTTCAACTCCGTCACTACAGTACAATTAGTCCAATATCAGCTTTTGATAACGAAGAAGACAATCCAGAGACCACGTCTTTCCGTCATAACCTGATTCAGTTTACTTCCAGTCCTGCCCGCGGCAATATACACGCGTGGATTGATAGGCCTATCTATTATCGTTTCGTGTTTTCTGTACAAACGGATTGTCTGACAAGATGCGTTTCTACCATTATTAGTCATAAAAGGCAATCCTGGGGCTATCAAAATTTATGATAAGATTACTACGTCACAAACACCTTTTGCATTGGTGACAATTAAGGTATCATGGGTATTTTGCCCGGCGAGTTTTGTAGAAGGCAGCCTGGGAGTGGCGAGCAACAAGTCTGTCTTATTACGTGACGCTGCCTATAATTTTGAAACAAGATATTTTTTGCCAAAGTATTATTAATGCGCTTAAAGCTGTTTGAATTCTTAAACCCTGTATAAATTAACGCCACCTAATATATTGTACAGTTACAGTACTGTGTTGGAGTAGAGTAATTCACCGAGTATATTGTTGAACGTTTTGAAGACGTTGTCTATTGCAATACTGAGCACATGTTGGCTGACAATGAATACAGATACTGAATTGTAAATTGAAAAACTTCTAATTCGTCCATTAGTTAGATATAATGATGTATTGTTAAATGACGTTTCCTATTAAACATTTATAAGTTTGATTATCAGCTAGTTTGTTTTTCGTACCTCAAGTTTACTAAATACTTGTAATGCTCGTTTTATGAGGTAAAGGGAAAATGTTCAGATAAATTAGTGAGGGGAGGGTAGGTTTAAATAAATGCAGCATAAATTGGGGGGGGGGAACTACTCCTTTGGCTTGGGGGGGGGGATTGCGCATCTGGGTTTGGGGGGGATGGGCACCTCTGTTTATTTTTAATATAAGAGGGTATTTATTTCCACAGATTTATGCAGACATATCTTTTTCCATCCACAATCAAGATACCGGTACTCATCTTTATCGCTGTATTCAAATTCACCGAGTATGGGGTTGTGGAGTTCCTGAGTTCCACCATCCTTATTGATCTGGACCAGAACAAAACGCACCTCGGCGCAAGTCCTCTCATCTCATCTCCCTCTAGTCTCACTTTGATGGCAACATTGAGGTTATGTGACAAGTGAAATGTTTTTGACTGCATTTGATTTTGAAAATAAGGAAATGTAGTCAAACTAATTTTGCGTATGAAATGTAAACGATGACAGCCTACCGTAAGTAAATTAATAACTTTATTGATTGTCAGAGTTTTTTTCAGCAACATTATTATTTACACATTTTAATTATACACAATCAATGTATCAGTCATTAAACATATACTGTAAAACATGGGAGTTCGCATTTAATTTAAACAGATAGTGGTCATATAATATTTATTGATGTTCGCTTGTCTAGTAATGTTATATAATTGTTATATATAATCATGTGTTTTACATTGTTTACTATCCCGCTTTGACACTATGAAAAATATATGCGGGATAGAAGAAACGATATTTTATTATAAGCCAAACAGTAAATATTGAATTTATTTTAGTGTACGATGTACAAAGTATTTTGGCCTAGATTGACTACACTAACACTTTCTGCCGACGAGTAAACTAGTTAGCCACCCGTTAAATAAGAGTACTTTGCAAACTTCAATCTATATAATTCACTCGTGAAAGATCAAATGAACTTAATAATTATACGATAATTGATATGTTTAATGAAAAAATTGTACACATTCTTTGGACGTAAATAATTAGCATTTTTTAATAGTTTATAATGTATAAATACAAAAAAGTTGTTCATAAAAATATAAAATCTAAACATAAATTCAGTTTCGAATAGGGAATTGTTGTTATCTTTCATATAACTTTTGCTCGAATTTATAAGTTATAAATAAAACGATCTGACCAAATACATCAATACATTTTATTTTTCGGACCCTAAATTATACAGCATCTACTACAACGCATTTGAAATAGTTAACTGTCATACATGGTCCTTGTGATCCCATTTTCCACTTAAGAGTCTGTTTGAGGAAACAAAAAGAATTCCGCCACAATAATTAAGTAAATTAATACGTTGGGCAACCATTTCGTCACCCTATCAAAAGCCTACCATTTCGTATATACGCAAAAAAGGGTAATTCATCAAGCAGATGCATTATCAAGGCTACCTAGTGCTATTAGTTATGTAGAAGATCAAGTAGATGCCTATTCACTTACTTGTCAACACTATTGATTTCCTTTGAAGAAGTTTGCGTCGAAACACTAAAAGATATCAAGCATCAAGCAAAGTAGTTAAATATGCACTTGAGAGGCTTCCTCGTTCTGTAAACATAACTTATAGTGTACACAATTGTTGTTTATTTTTTAGCGAATTTCCCATATAGGGGGAATGAGCTATTACCGTAGGTCTCATGGTAGGACCTGGACCCGGGACCGATTAACTTTTTCGTTTTGAGGTCCCCAGAGGCCAAAAACACCATCCGTTCAAATTCATATATATAAATGTGTCCGTTAGCGCGATAACTCGAGCAAAAATGATCCGATTTTGATGAAATTTGGTATAAACGTGTAAACCTACATTTATTCAAATGATTTCGCGAACCAGCACACCCGACCCAATGAAATACCCAAACAATACCCATTGGGTTGGGAATACCCGACCCAATGTTCCGCGAATGATCGGACTATGGGAACAGGGTTTTATGGGGTAAAAATGGGGTTTTCTCATTTTTCGCCCTGAAAACAAGTTTTGCAATTTCTTTCCAAACCATTTTGTAGAGCTAAAAAATATAAATAATTTAGTATATTGAAGCATTTTTGCATGCCTAACGGTTACGGCAAAAATCGCAAAATAGTGTAAATTCAAAATTACCATGCTATTCTTATGGAGAATAAATACACTGTTGTATCTTGCTTGTCTATAGACATATTTTAATGAATTTTTGTGTACTTTATTCTAAGCTGTTAATATTTCAATAAAAACCCCCTATTATTTTGTCCCCTGTAGCAGCAAACCTAATAACTAATTTATATTAATGATATTTAAATAGGAAATAAATCTGACAATTTTAAGGGAATAATTTAGTGGAATTCCAGCCGTGTAGATGGAAATTCGCTTAGTCTGCAGGTTTGCTGCGGCGGGGGTATTTTATGTATAGTAATGCCCGTCAGCCTAAGAGATGAGGCTCTTGAAGTTAGTTCATTTTAGTCATGCGGGCATAACCAGATTTATAAGCTGATACTTTAGCACTCAATTCTAGCAAGACTGTCAAGTCAACGCTTCTCCAGTTTTCACATTAAAAACCAATTATTTAGGATTTGAGTTCTTGGTCTTGTTGTAGTCAATCAAGCTACTGGGAATAATATTATACAGGAAGTAGTGTTCGAATAACTATGTAGAATATTTGTGTAAGAAATTAGCTAAAATAACTTTTATCATTATACAAATTTAAAAACTGTGTCAGCAATCTTTGCTGTCTTGTACAACTCGACGAAGGCCTTTGTAACGATGATTTATTTAATGGCTATTTATTTTATTAACAGCTAAGGAGAATTTCTAACAACTTTATTTAGAGATCCTAACATCCTCCCTTCATAAACTTAGGTCCTATATATATACTTATGTTCTATCGCGTAATTAAATTAACATAGATTAGAAATAGCAATAGCACACTATAATCAAATGTATGGTCGTCGCTTGTCACTGCAAGCGCTTGATTTATACCATGTTATAAGCCAATCATCGGTCCCATAAGGAGACACGAATCTCGGCTTCTCAAACAATCAATCTTGATTTTAATATTGAAATAAACTATAATCAATTATGGCAAGACAATTTGAGGTAGTCTTACAGCTCTCCGAAAATCACTGTGAGAACCAACGTATACAAAAGCTGTTTAACTAACTAACATTACTTAAAATCGAAAAATAATTATATTATTCTTTGAAAGGGTAGCTTGAACTTCTAAAATTTTAAGTCAGGTTTGTTTGTCAACCTTTATACAATTAAAATAATTTAAAAACATTTACAAGTACTAAGGTTTTAGAAGGAGTCGATTCCAGGGCCATCTCTCGGTGACTTGAGGAACTCGGTACCGAGCACTGAGCTAAAATTATAACTGGAGGTAGCACTGCCATGGCAGAAGTCTGTCAAAAGCGTGTCGCTGATTTTGTTAGGTTGGTATAGCAGTAAGTTTTCTTATCATAGCAATAACATGGCTTCTTATAACTAGGTTGGTATAGCAGTGAGTATTTTTGTCATACTTGAATACTTTTAATACTTTAATAATTTTCTTTGAAATGGCGACCATACAAAGTAGGTATTTTAAGCCAAGTATAATAATAGTTATAGCAATAATATGGCTTCTTATGGCACCAGACTCACGCAAACATGGCGGCTGGCGACACGCATCTTTGACATTCAGTGCTATCTCCAGTTAGAATTATAGCTCAGTGGTACCGAGGAACTCTGTCACTACCTAGCGGTGACTAGACTAGACGAACTGACTGTTCTGTGTTGTGTTGTTGTTGTGTTGTGCGCCTGTTTGAGTCTTGAGGTTATGTTTTTTAAGCCAGTTTTTAATAAATCAGTTTAGTGTTTCAGTTTTGAAAATCTCTAAAGAAAAACTTAGAACTTAAAATTTTATCTTAGTTAAATATAGTGTCAAACTAAGAAAGTGATGTTTTGTTTTTTGAATAGTATTGTTAAAGGGGGATTACTATTTTGTTGACCTGGGTCAACAAATTCAATAGGTAGGCCTAAATTTAGCAAAATAACCACTTAGAATGTGGATATTTACGTGAAACTTAGAACGAAGGTATATCAACATAATTCTACATGTATGTACATTTAGTAACGATTAACAAATTTAAGTACCTAGCCTATTTTAAACAAAAAACCGCCGTAAAAATATAATTTTATTTTGTTTAAGTTACCCAGGTCAATCGCTAAAAAAGGTAACTTACTTAGAATTATTAAGGTAAATACATGAAACTTGGAACGAAGGTATACCAACATGTATTCTATACATATGTAAAATTTGGTAGGTAGGCCTAATGATAAAAAAATATTTAAATATTTTTTTTTAACAAAAATCCACCGTAAATAACTACATAATTTTATTTTGTTGAACCGGGTCAATCGTCAGAAAAAGGTACTTAGAATTAAGCTCTATACATGCAACTTTGAACAAAGGTTTATCAACATGTATAAATCATAAATTCCGAGGAAAATGCAAATCTTAAAAATCGTTTCAGTTGGTAAATGAAAATAAACATCCTTCCAGACGAGGTTGACTTGGAACGATCATTTGACAGTGTATGCTCAAAAGTCTCATCGGACACATTTTGCCTTAAAGAGACTAGCAAAGTACTATACCTACCGGTACTTAATACTTTAATACTTTAAATTGAAATGGCGACCATACAAGTTCCCGCGAAACTCTTTTCATCTAGCTTATAACAGCCTTATCCATCGTTACCTCACTTAAGGAATTGTATTGTGGGGTGGTTGTACAATGTACAGGTTATCTTTTTTCCAGGCTTTTCAAACTCCAAAAAAAGGCAGTAAGAACCATTGCAAATCTAAAAAGAAGACAATCTTGCGGGGGGCATTTGCATCTTTGGGTTTATTAAGTCTGCCCAAAGTCTACACCTGGTCTACAGTCTGGAAACAGTGGTTCATTGTTTTTTTTTTTTAAATCCAGCTTAACACGTGGTTCAGACATACACAACACAATATGAGAAGAAGGGAAAACTTCCGTCTGGGCCAGCACAGAATGGCAGTATTTGAAAGCTTACACTCCCAAGCTGGCATTCCTTTCTTTAACAGTTTGCCCAACTGGCTCAGAGATAGAACAAGTCCCTCCTAAATTAAAACCCAACTAAAGCACTTGTTGTCCATTGTCCTCACAGACATTTTACTTGGTGGAGGAATTTTTTAATTCACTGTTGGTAGTGTATTTAAAAATGAACGAATGAGAGTGTGCCTGTAAATGTATGTCTGAATTGGTATTGTGTATGACTGTTTTTATGTTTATTATGACATTTGCTGTGGAAAGTCACCGTAAGCCTCACCGTAGTGAGGTGCACAACAGTCAGCCTAGTTACTGCGGGATGGCACTAGTGCTATCTAGCTAACTGATAATCCGTTGACGATGTTTTAGCTCATGTACGTGCGAGCCTGGTATTATGCACAGCAACTCTGTTACTTCTGCTGGTCTTCTCAGCGCAGAATTGGTTGTCATGGTTTGATGAAACGTCTGTTCAGCAAAATGGAAATGATAGCTTATTTAATAACACTCTTGGTGAAGGTAAACAGTTTTTCTTACAGTATGTTATTTACTGTTAGTGTAAGTGACAGAGACAAAGCAAAATTCATAAAGCACATTATTTTCTGTTAGTGAGTAGGCTTATGTTTCAGACAGATAAGCCAGAAACATAGTTTTGACACAAGTAAACCATTAGACAATAATATTATGTTACACTCTGAAGTTGGGGCATTATCATGGAGAGATTTGCCAATGGTGATATTTGGAGTTTGGTCCTTGACTACCACGCTAGAAGTTAAACTTATTAGATAATATTTAAAGTTACATACGTGATACCGGATACCCTTTTTAAATATTTGTTTTTCTTGTATCTGAATTATTGCACTTAACTTAAGTCTATTATAGTTAATGATTAAATGAAGAGAGAACTGTCTTTGAAATAGCAAATTTACTAATTAACCTTTTAATTTTATTAGGATATAAATTTTGACAGTTTAATTAAATGTCCACAAACTCAAGTCCCTATTCAGTATATTCAGTGAATTGGAAATTACATCACTCAAACCATAATATATTTTTCAGGTGGGGAACAGCGACAGGTACAAGATTTTATAGAAATTTCTGAAATCCTACCAAATTGCGGGATCAAGGAGCAATGTCCTGAGGAGTCATTTCCTGTCCATATCTACACAGGGCAAGATAAGGACGACCAACCCAAACTGTGCATAAGGGGAAAATAGTAGGTCAAACTTATAGGTCAAAATTTATATATTTGCCTAGTAATAATAGGAGATAAAAGACTATTTGTTCCAAGTAGTTAGGAGGGGGAAAGTGAGATCTAAGGGAAAGTAGGATATACAGATAAATTAAACTAAAACTTATTCTTGTGGTAGCCTCACATACAAAAACAATAAACAGTGTCAGCAATGACACATAGTTTTTCTTATTAGCATTTCAACAACCCTTATCAGGGGTAAGCGGTGGGAGTTACTATGATATTTTAATGGGGAAAATCACTTAAGCTAAATAGCTTTTGAAATGTAATTTTTACAGCATTAGGTGTTGTTCCGTTTTGTTTAGAGTTAAAATGACCTTAACATAGGCTACCAAATTTCATCAAAACAGGATCACAGGTGAAGTATGTAGTTCACACTCCATCCACATATACACTCAAACAGACGTCACTTCGAAAACAACTTTTTTGGGGTTCAGGGGGACCCAAAACTTATATTTCCATCCAAAACTCAAAATAAAAAATGTTGACGAAAACAATAATTTTTTCCAAATGAATACTGTACTATCATTGACTATATTGTACAGTGAAAAAGACATGCCATCAATATGAACCAGCTGTCTCAAATTTTTTATAGAAAAAGAACATAGTTCTGTAAGCTAGTCACAGAATGTGCTAGTTACTAATGTTCTATTTTTTACCTTACTTTTTGTTGCACGGATATAGTTGATGGGTCACAAAAGCTGCTATGGCTTACAAGAAGTTGCTTTGGTCAGTTTGCCTTGGTTAAAAAGTCTGTGTATTCAACAGAAATCAGTAATGTACATCAGCAAAATCTGTTGGTGACTCACATCAACTACGACGATTTTGATTTACAAACTGACGACAACTTTAGCTTGGGAATGGATCAATGGAATATCTAGTTGTATCAATGGTCAAAGGTACTATACGGGGAGCAAGTAAAAATTGAGCCAAACCTTGATTGAAAAAAGGTATTGTGATGTGAAGGTACAATTATAGTATGTAAAGTTGTAAATAGTAAATATGCATATCTGACCAAATATTTAAAAACATTATTTCCCCAATTTTCATGTAAGATTTGGAACACTTTTGGGATTTGTTCGGGACAGTAATCTAACTCTAATTTTGTGATCGTAGAAAATGTCTGCAAAGTTCTTGCGATTAAAAATTCACAATGTTGCAAAAATTGACAACGGGCCAACCTCGATCTTTTCGTTTATGAACAAACACCTTTTAGTACACCTTGATCATGATGACATCAAGAATTTTAAGAATAATCATGGTATGGTCGTAGTTAAGAGATGGGTCATCATGTTATCACGAACGTGTACATCAGATTATAGCTAGACTGATTTTGTGATAAATGCACAATACACCAAATTTACTCAAGATAATAGTGCTCTAACCTGTAAACATGTGAGACGAGCTCTTAACCCATTTGCATCGGATGACGTACCAGTACGTCAAGTCAGTGATGTACAGTATCACGGCTGACGTACTGGTACGTCATTCATGAAATTTGAAAATTTGGGTTTTTCAAAAAATGAACCATTTATACTTACAATATATACTTATAATTTTTAATTTTGTTCATTAAAATATAATTTTCCTTGAATGATTTCATATTTACATAATACAGGCAGCTATTTAACTATTTTTATCAAAAGTATGAAAAATAGTGAAAACGTGTCCTAAATACATATACATATAAAATATATCATTTTTGTATACATTATAGGTTTTATATTATTTTCAGCTATAAAATACTATAAAACAAAATAAAAAATAGTCTAATTTTTTCTGGCAGGTATATGTACCAATTTTGTGTAGAAATATATAAAATAGTGTAAAAATATCCTAATCCTAAATACATATACACATATGTAAAAAATTCAAAATAATATAAAAATATCTATTTTATTATTATTTTCAGCTATAAAATAGGCCTACTATAAATCATCATAAAAAATAGTCAAAAGCATAAGTTATATTTTTATTTTTAATGTTTCCGTGATACTGGGATTTTTGGTTAATAAATAAAACGGTACAAATGGGTTAAATGTCTAGTGTTTTTAGTTTTGGGGTTGAAAAAAAGACAAGCTTAAAAAGAAAACAGAAAAAAATATGTATAGTTTTAAACAATACACTTCTTGTTAACACCAGTCTAAAACTAAGCATTTAACCATGACTAAGTTCCTTGCCAGTTGGAATTGGAAACCTGGCTGCACCATTCGCAAATCTTAATGGTCAGTGTTGTTGTTTGCAGTGTCATAGGCAACAACATCAATGGAGGAGGGAGGGGATTGAATGCTGCCATTGTTGACTCAGTCCACTTCCAAGTTATAGCAGTGCACAACTTTGACCTCTATAGCCAGAACAGCACCTCTCTAGAACTGTGGTTGGCCAATCAGGTCCTAGATAACGACATCATTATCGTCTTCACGTTCGATGAGGCCTCAAAAGAACTTAGCCGCAAGGCGAAATTGTCACTCTATAGACTAGGTAACTATATTGACCTAAATACCAAGTAGATTTATCATACTCCTGTGAAATATGAAGCTGTCTTTCATGTGTTTTATATCCAATCACACTAAAATTTTCTTATATTGACTAAAATAATTTTCTTGAAACTCAAAACTGGTTTGAAATTGGACTTATGTTTGAAACTAATTTGTAATCTTTTAATTTACTGTCTAAGAAACCAGTTGTAAAAAGTTTAAAGTTTGAAGAATTCAGTTTTACAGCATGTTTTTCTAATCCTATCTCCTTTCATGACTTTGATTTTGCAAGAAATTCTGTTCAAAATGTGTAAATGAAAGATGAACAAAATAATAATGAATGTTTATGTAGCCATATTTATAATGTTACTGTAATTTACATAATTTATTTAAAATTTGGTTAAGTATACTTTAATCAGAGTTAATATAAAAATTGGTGTCCGCCCCTGCGGACTAACCCCCTCCCCCGAAGGAATCTTGAAACAATGAAATAAAAATTAATTAAGTTATGAACAGCTCAATGCATTAAAAATAAAGCGGTTGTTTAATTATTTATAATCATACTTTAAGTAATAAGTATACAATGTTATAAAAAAAAACTGTTAAAAATGATAATCATGGACCTCATCAGATAAAAGGTTCTGCTAGAAAGATTACCCGCTTTTGTCTACTGTCAGAACATAGAAATAAACACATAAAAATGATCTGATTAAGGAAAAATACCGTATGATTTTACTTGCGATAGAAAACTGGTTAGTATACGGTTTCTATTTAGACTTAATGAAGAACACAGATATTTTTAATTGTTCCTTCATCATTAATAACACATGATTTAAATTGTGTTCCTTTTATCCTTACATTTTGTATCAATCTTTTACATACATTTGAATAGCTCCAAATCTACATAAAGATTGAAGGGATAAATAAGTATTTTGTAAATGTTTTTGAAATGGAGTGGTGTGTTCAAAGTAGCTCAAAAATGTGTTAAAAACTGTTTTATTGTCATACAATTTTTAATAATTTAACTGTTTAAGGGAAGGGTCAGTTCTTGACCCCTAGAACAAGATACTGGTTACCCTTATGAAAAGATCTTCATCTACTTTCACTATCTACTTTGATAGTTTATGATGACTGAATGATTGAACTCGTATGGTAATATTTTTAATAAACAATGATTGCAGGAAGTGGCAAAATCCAAGATTTGCAATTTCGATCACAATGGTACATGATTTCACAGAAAGGAATCAATGGTTTCACCTCTCTTGAAAAGTTAAATTTTGCCAAAAATGACCGCTGGGGAGAAGTAATTGATGAGAGAATTTGTGTGCCAAGGCAAAGTGAGTATTCAAATTTTTAAATAGTGAATCTGAGTATATACGCAAAAGAGTTTAACATATAAACCAAGATTTATTTGAATGAGCTGATTGCAAATCAGTGGGTGTGAATGAAGGGTGAGTGTCGAATGGAGTGAGATGACTTGTGTAGTTTTGACTGACTACAATCACCTGTTCTTTTAGTCAGGATCGTCTTTTAAAAGCCCAGTGATGGACAGTTTGGAACCAATTGGTATAATGATGAATCTGTACATAGTAAAAATTCTCCGTTTTTACTGTTTTTTCTATTATTATCGAGCTATTTGAAAACTCTCCACACCAAGTTGATGGTTAATGAAAGATTTTTTATGCACTATTGAAGTGTGCTTCTAAATACCAGAAAATTAATCCATTGTTAGGATGCTACACAGACCTATTGTGACTTTCTGCTTCTTTGTAAATACTGTACAACTCTTACAACCAGGGCCGTCCCTAGGGTTGGCGGCGCCCGGAGCAAAAGTTTTTGTTGCGCCCCTCCCCCCAGTAATAGTCTCATTCGTATATCTTAATACTATACAAATTGCCACGGCCCCTGGGCAGCTTGCCCCGGTTGCCCAACCCCATCGGACGGCCCTGCTTACCATAAAACTACCTATATCTCTATTCTTCTATGTGGGGAGCGCAAAAAGCCCATCAGTGGCTGACGTGCAACAGGACAAGGTCCGCCTCTACAGAATCAATCAATCAATCACTATTCTTATAATGTAAGACTTGATAAGTAATCAATTTGTTACCTGATGTTTGTTAAGGCGTGTCTATCTGCGTTAAATGCATTTTTAGACCACACCACAGACAAAGACGGACTAGTGTTTTCATAGACTTCTTGGGGTGCAGACCACATGCACAAAAACACGAACTCCTTGCTATCCCGTTGCGGACTGTGACATAGACTCCTCTAGAATGAGTCAGCGCGTCCCACAGTCTGAACCCTGCTGGTGGGATTCGGTGTATGATTCCTAGGAAAACAATCTGACGTAGCACTGTGTATTGTGATTGTGTGTATTAATACCTTGAGCCTGCGGACTCCGCAGGCTCAACACCGCACCCTTCTGCAGCGTATACCCAGCAGCTAGGAAAACACGCCTTTACCATTTTATTTGACTCAGGATTAAAAGTTAACTTTGACAATAAAAGTCCATGATGTAAGCACTTACTGACTTGCTTATTCCAGTTCCACCAGTCACTATTACTCCTGACCCGCCTCCAAGGAAGAATCCGATGAGAGAGAAATTTTGTGAAACAGTTGATGAAATGAAGTGCAAGGAATTCTGTGGAGGTAAAGAAATACCGTTAAAGCCTTAAGCTATACGTTATCATCAAGCAGATGATCCATCATGTAGTTGTAGTATGGACACATACACAATTAATACCCTTTGAAATTATTCCTGGCGGATCGCATAGTCTCGATGGTTACAGCAAAGTGGCGTAAGGATAGCGTAGCACTTGCACCACTTGGGTATTGTAGGGGATAATTTTGTATATTGCCATTGATGATTTATAAAGGTTTTTGTAAGTAGCCCTAACAGTTTTTTTTTGTTAAATTAATATATTTAATTGACACTTGCAACACAATTTTGGTTATTCATAATTAACATTTGATCATCCCAACAAGATGATGTCTTCACGATCGCAAGAGATATTCTCAATTCAATCGCGGTCGCTTGTTCAATCTATGAGCTTACTATTGAACAATATTGTTTATGTCATCACAATTTTTATTGTTATGGCACAGTTGAAATATAATCTTATAAAAAATATGTTTTTTATGTCTACAGCTATAGCTCAGCACGAAGCTATCTACCCAGCTCTTTTGACCAATCGTAGCTTGATAGGAAACCCAGTCTACTCTACGCCCTTGATTGTAGTTGGCGGTTCTTCTCTGGATACACTTTCTCTCACTCTTCAGACTTTAATCCATCAACCAGGTATCCACAGGTAAGTACCTCAGATAAACACGAAGCCACACAGTTATGACCTAAGGAGATGATATTATATGTTGCAAAGCTTTCTCAACCCAAAAGGCTAGGTCATACTATAACTCTGGAACCAATGTGTGACTGGGAACTCAGAAAATCCTATTCTAGTATTTATTTTTACTATCAAATGATGGTATTCAAAAGAATTATCTAACAACTTCACAAGTATTTAGGGTGATTTCTATGAAAGTTATAAAAGTATTGACTAATACATGTTCAAATGAAATAAATAAAAAATAAAAACTTTACCGGTTGTTTGTGGACAATGTTAAACGTTTAACAAAGTATAGAGTAAATTTTAGTGATGTTGGATGGAAAAATTATTACAAAGTAAAACATAACAATACTTTTAATACTTTAAGGGTAAGTGTTAAGAAATAAAATATGACTGTATTTTTTTAACTAAAAGAACTCAGCAAAGATATTTAAAATTGTACATTTAACAAATTGTTAAAACACAGTTTTTATTGAACATATTTTGTAATTCTGAAGTTCAATATTTTAGGACAACTTACAGTACCTATCTTTTTTCAAGAGTAATATAATTTTAGAACCAAAAAGCATCACAACGTATCATAAAGAGTGGATGATTTTTGATTTTGAGAGAACACCAATAGAACAGCATGCTTAAAGTCTCCAGCGGCTTTCTTTCTGAGGAAATATTTAGGAAATTTAAAATAATTTCCAACAAGTTTCTAAAAGTTGTGATGCTGCATATTGTTTTACAGTTTTTTGTTGTGCTAAGAACATTTGTAAATTAAGGGAGGTGAGAATCAGAGGGTTGGTGGAGGGTGGAAAGGGTTTAATATTCAGACTCAGAGGTTCATTTCTGATACATCAATTTCTAGAAACCTAATACTGTATAGGCTACATACAATTCTTTCCTCTATGTGGCACTATTGTAACAAATTTTTAAAATCCGTGATTTTGTCTTATGTATGTTATATTTTCTACTATAGTATTTTAGGATTACTAAACTTCCCAGCCTACAAAATAATCTCCTTTGGATACCAAAACGAAACAGAAGTTATATTATTAAGAATACTAAGCAAACTTAAAAAGCATGCTTCCATGACCAGGTAAATTACAAATCTGTTATTTACAAACTGATTATTCCAGATTTGTGTCTTATGTTATCAGCCCAAGTGTACTTGTCCTCTATCCAGAAGCTAACGAAGAAATGGCAGAGTTGGTAAGATTGTTCTCCTTCCAACCAGTTCCGATCAACTCAACAGCTAACAATGGTAATTTATAATCTTAAATCTACAATTACAATACACGTCTGATAATGTGATAGCTCTTGTTTGTACTAATGTGGTAATTGGTAGCACAACAAGGCAGCCAATGTAGGGTATTTAAGGTCCAATTCCTATGCGGCAACTGATACGGCTCGAGACGCTTGTCTTAATTCCTATGCCGCGACTCCCTAGTGACTAGTGCAATTGCACTCTTGACCGTAATGGAATAAGCACAGTTGGCAGCGAATATATTACTTGGAGAAGAGGAGGAAAAGGAAATATTCATGTGCATGGTAAAAAACAATGAACAACCTAATCCATTGTTCATGGTACGGTGAAAAGAGGGGTTTCAGAGTATTCTTATTCAGAGACATCTTCTTCAAGTATTGGGCGTGCTTGGGGTTGAAAACGTATGGGTGGTGACGAACCAGTTCCATCAACTTTGAATCATCTATAAAGGTACACACCTCAAACTCCGTATGTATAAACTATAAATTCGTTACAGCCGCGCGACTGAAGCGACTGGACTGCTCACGGAGCAGTCGAGTCGTGACTACTCTAGCCACGCGGCTCTAGTCGCTCCAGTCGCGTGGCTGTGGACGCTCGATAGGAATGGGTTGCATATACTTTGCATTGAAGCAGTCAAATTTTACCACACGACTAGAGTCGTAACAGTCGTAGGATAGGAATTGGACCTTTACTGAGGGGCAAATTGTTATCTTGTTTCAGGGCTCAGGGAAAATGTCCCTCAAACAATTTTAGTTTAAAACACTTTAAAACATGCTTTTGGGCTATATAACAGCCGGGGTTCCCCTTCATAAACATTTGTATACACTTACTTGATTCTACAAGTTTTATGAATATTTTTAACTTATCAATAAAAAAAAATAATATGTTAAAACAAAAACTAACATTTTAAATAGTAAATAATGCACCAGTAGATCCAAAAACGACATATTTCCTTGACTAAATTTAATGCTTGAATAAATAGTGATAAAAATATTGTCCTCTTTGTTGACTGTGTATACCGTAAAATACTAGACTATAGACACAGTAATACTTGGCAAGGCCATGCATGATATGAAACAACAGATTTTGTTTCTATGCGCTTTTGGCTCAAACTTCTCAAACTGACTAAAATGTCTTGTAATAACCAGTAGTACATTGAAGAAGCTAGCAAGCTAAACACGTGCCTAAGTTAAGTTTTTTTTATTTCTTCAACAGCTGTAACAATGATTTGAAGCGCTCTGCTCCTGTGAATGATTAATTTTCATGCGTTTTATTTTGCCATCCCAGTTTCAAAAATTAGAATTAGAATTATTTTATACATTTGTTGTTGCCCGAGTTCTTGTAGGTAAGATGTTTGTGTCCCCAAAATATTCAGGGGTCTTCTTGTTAATTCATCTTCTTATCACTAACACTATAGTCTATATTTACAGAAATGTTTACACACAAGGAGTCACTAATATTGCGGTCGGGTCAATCGGAAATTTAACGTCAGAAACACGGCCAAATTGCCAACACCCACAGTCCAAGAAATGAAACGGAGGATGAAAGGCCTTATGCATGAATCTGCTGCGTGTCCGTAGTCGCAATACACATTGGCCCGACCACAATACTAGTGACCTTGTGCGTGAAAATATTTTTGTACAGGGTTAGTGATAAGAAGATTAACTAACAAGAAGACCCCTGAAGATGCCACACAAAGTAGTGAATTGCTTAGGGTGGCAAAAACATCTTATCTACAAGAACTCAGACAACAACAAGAAAGGTAAAGCTAATAATTTTCATGATCATTATTTTAATTTTTTCAAGGCTCTGTGATGACATGCTCACATAGAAAATCTTCCAAGACAATTTTTACTTAATTCTCCAGTTCCTCTTAGACATTTCATGATTGTTACTTTTAACACATAAACTTAAACTACAGTGGTTTGTCTTTAACTTTTACATTTGTCTGATTTCAGAACACATATTGTTTGGGCTACGGTTAGTAAAGAAACGCTTTCCAAACAAGAAATATGCCATAGTTCTTGATGAAGGGTTAATCTTGTCCCCTGACTTTTTATTCTACATGGCTCAGTTGGTTTTTCTTTTCCAAAAAGACGACTCAATTTTTGCAATATCTGCTTGGAACTCAAATGGTAAGTTTGTTTTCTTGATTATTTATGTATTAGCTAATATAGTTATACTAAATTTCAAATGTTGAATACTTAAAAGGGGTTCCAAATCATTAAAATGGTCTTATAACTATAAATTTAAATTGATCTTCACAACTGTTAATGCACTACCTATTGGTTGGTCAGAATTTAACATATTCATTGGGGTTGTAAAACCCTTTATAAACTGGGCACAATATTAAAAAAAATGATGATAAATTTGAAATCACTTAAGTCTTAAAACATTAATACTCTTTTTCATAATGAGTTTATGTATTATGTCAAGTTTTTTACTATGTTGGAAGTAGATACCTACTTAGTTGTTTTCCCACACCTCAGAGTATTGTATTTCCTTTAATCTTCCAGGTTACAAAAACATCTCCAGTAATCCTCACTTGGCTTATCGATCCGAACATTTCCCAGGACTTGGGTTTTTGTTGCCTCTCAGTGTTTTCGATAAATACTTAGAAGGGAATTTCTCCTCTTGCTGTAGCCAGCCGTAAGTGTTTGATTTATTTTAAATTTTGAAAAATGTCTAGCTATGTAAATCTAGGAGAAAAATATGATTGATGTAATATAAGTGATGATGATGGTATGGATTAGTTTATATTTTTGTAACGTCAACATACTCTAGTGTGGGAATTTTGAAGGCAAATACAAGTGAAGGGTGAATATTGTTAAAAGGAAATGCTAGTAATGGTGGTACACCAACGTTTACCAATACAAAACTCTAAACTGAAGACATAGTCTCAGAAGTTAATAATTGATCTAAAACTAATCTAACAAACTGGAGTTTTTACAGATCACAGTTTTGATCGCCTTTAATACCCTTTTAATACCCTTAGTAGCCTGTTACTCATGTTACACTACCATTTTTAAAAGTATTGTTTTACCAGATTCTTTAATAAAACACAATCAATCATTGAAAATGAGTGAGGTATACAGTTTTATAGTTCAATTTTAAGATTGAAAACTTTTGTTTTGAAAACTCTGATGGTATGTGTTTTTGTTACAGAACAGTTCTCGGCTGGAATATTAATGGCAGTGTTGTGATTCCTGATGTGTCGAGAGTTCTTCGAAGACCCAAAGACTTTCTTCACTTCCCTCCAAAAGACCCTCAGTTCCAACTCTTCACTCAATCTAGAGCTACCAACATGTAATTTAAATAACATTAACATTAGTACTTACTAGGAGATTAAACCCTGAATGACCTTTCAACAAATCCGCTGAGGCAGGCTCAAGGCGGGTTGTTCCGATAAGTGGGCCAACCACAGGGCACTGTCACATTTCCAATTCTCGGCCAACTAATGGCTGTGACGCACAAAAGCGCCATAATGTGTCGTATATTATAGCTGAATATAGTTCTATAAAGCGCTAACTAGTAGCTGCACTTGCTAGGTCCAAGTAAAGAGCAATATATTAGTAAGGATTGATGCAAAACCACTACAACACTGTAATCTAAGTCTGTAACAAAAAGTGCAAATAAAAAACGACGACCACAAAAAAGTGAGGAAAATCATGCCTCTACGAGAGCATAAACAGATAAACACACAGCAGGAGTGTGACATGCACACTGGCTTAGTAACTATGATAGTAACTATTGACACGTCTTTGGGCAGTCATGTGGTAGATCAACTGCACCCACATCGAATGTGTTAAGTGAAATATGACGTGGTTGAGTTCCCTATCATCACCTCCCCCTCAAGCCATAGGCCTACAGTTTTGACTGTTAAAAAAAATGTAATATATACCCTATGTTAAAAACAGGCCTTTATATTTAAGTTCTTGTAATTTACTTTAGAGGCTTATTAAAAACATGTCATGCAAAAAAAGAAATATAAAATACAAATTTGTCACTCAATAAAGGTTTACAGCAGGGTTTTTTTAATAAAGGGCCTAGGGGCGCAAAAGGGTTTAAGGTTTTTTGGATGCGCAATGAAGAGAAAAACCCCCCCCTACAAGGTATTTGAAGAGGAGCACATGTATCTCTCGGGGCCATAGCGCATCACATACAAACCGCAGGCCTTGTTTTCATTTTAAAATTTGAAGGTATTCTTCCAGGTGACATGTTGGGAGCAGTGTATGGAAGCTGAAGCTACAACACACAGTTTTTATAGTTGAACATTGTGTGTGAGATATATTTCTCTTTAGCAACCCAAAGGCAGCGACAATCTACTAGAAGGAGGAGGGGTGTGTATAAAAACCTAGAATACATAGTTATATTATGAATGAACATTAGTTTAATAATTGATCTCTCTCTGCAGGCACCCCTAATTACCGTCACTGTTGGGTACCTAATTCAGTTATGCAAAACATCAGTTTACAAAGTTGATCGCTGGTTCTAGGGATGATTCTGCTTGGATTGAGAAGCCTCAGGAGTTGGTCAAAGAAAGATACTTCCAACAGCTGGTGAATCTCATCCAGGAAAGCACAACCTTCCATTTGTCTGACTCTGACCTTCATTTGTGTCGGGAGGGAACTAATGCTGCTGCCTTGCAAATGCTGCATGAGTTTTCTGGGTTAGATGTTACATGTTATGTAGATACTAGAGACCAATACGTCATAGATATTACTTGTGTTCTTTTCTGTTGTTATATAATTGATTAATTAGCAAGGTAATAAAATACATTCTAATTTTGAAACCTATTATACAGGATTGGTAAAAAGTTTAAAGACTGTTTCCACTGTTGAACAGACAAGGCAAATAAAACTAACTGGCCTACATCTATACAATAAAATGAAATTTTTGAGTGAAATAGTAGATTTGTTCATTGCTCTGTAATAGAATATTTTTTGAAGAGCCTCAAATTATCAAATATAAGCTAACATAAAAAGTGTGTAATTTTATTGTACGGTTTTAGGAACATCTGAGCTAGAGATTTGTATATAGAAATTCAAAATGAAGTGTTTTATAGGCTTATAATTAATTAAAATATCTGGGGCAGTCCCTGAAAAACCAAGAGCAATTGACAAAAATGCTATTTCACTATAAAAGTTTGTTTTTATTAGTCACTATAATTTATCAAGTTTGCTTACCTGCTATTGTTCGTTCAAAAGTTATAAAGTGGCCCTAGATATTTGTTAACCCTGTAATATGATAGTTAAACGATATTTATTCATAAAAAATGTGCAAAAAAACTCTTTACAGCAGATAGGTAGACAAGTGTTTGAGTTTAAAAATTTAGTTATAATTATTCAATTTTTGAATAATTAAAACACAGTTAAAATAAATCTGAATTATTGGAACTTTACAAGCATTCTTTTTACAGGAGGGTTTTTGCCATTTACTACAGTGAAATGGATTACAAAAACTCAACTACTTTGAAAACGATTGCCAGATGCTTTGGAATGTCCATGCCACCAGATATAAAACCCCAAGGGTTGTACCAAGATGTTTTCAGGTGGGCTTATCACATTTGTTAGATATATTTAAACTATTTATTTTCAAACTTTAAATGAAATACAATGAAGCCAATATAGTACTCTAAATATTTGAAACTTTATTTTATCCAGTTGTTGGCCTTTATTCATTCTCAGCGTTACTACAAACCTGAAAAAAATTTTTTTATGACATGCTCTCAAAGTCATTTTCTAAAAAGTTGTCTCTGGTGCTGGCAATAACTATAATTTTACCTGCGACGGTTTTTTTAAAATAGCCGTTTCATTTCAGTTCTTAGAGTAGGAAAGATTCACTTAACTTAACAGCATTGATTTTTTTACTTAACACGGGTAACGGACCAATGAGGTTCAAGGATTTAGAGAACAAAAGTAAAATTGTAATGCTTCAAACTTCAACTTATCAGCTGTTCAGGCCATACTAATTTATTGTCAATGAGTGGTGCAATTAGTCTTAGGTAAAAAGATTCCTTGCATCACTATCAGTGGCAATGAGAGGTTATAAACGAAAAAATAACCTCTCTCTTAGAAGTTATGAGTACTGTAATGAATGTTAGTAATTAAAACACTGTTGTAGGGTTTTTAAGGAACTCGCCAAGGCTCCTACCGGTACCTTAAATTTCTACTCTTGTCGCTAACACTATCATTACGAGATTGTTGCGTAACGGGATATAACAACAATCTGATATCTTTAATGGGCCTGGGCCCACTGGTTCCAAGAGGCCGAGGGGGGCAAGAGGTTTTAGGTTTGTAGGAGGCAAAAAGATGAGAAAAATTTCCTCCCAAGGAAGGGGGGAGGGGCGCAAATACTTCTCGGACCCATAGCAGGTCACATGCAAACAGCAGGCCTGCTCTTTCCCATTATAATAATAATATAATACTTAAAGAGATGTTTCTATCAAGTTTCATTTCAATGTTCTCTCTCAACACAAGGCAAGCCTGATGGTCGTGTCTTTAAAATTATACTATATTGAAAATTAATTAATAATTCCGAAAAACCCATGGAGTATTCAAGAATAAATATTTTTCAAAATATAGAATAGTTACCGTATGGTTTTTATTCAAATACCAATGTAAAGTTAGGTTTCTAAATGCTCTGTCATTCTTTGAATATTTTAATCTTTGATTAATTATGTTTTGATTTCCTACAGGTTTGCCATTGATGGAAGCACAGTGTTGTTAATAGAATCACAATCACCTTTCTTCAAGTCAAAACTTCGATCTGTCACAATTTAAATAGCTTTATAAATCTTATAAAAATGTTTAGTTTATAAAATATTTATACATTTTACAAAACAAGTATTTCCTTACTTCCTCCATTCATAGTAAAAATCCTACATTGGTACAAAAAAGGTAAGCTAACCCTTTATCTTACAGCTATCCTAAAAATATAGATCTATTTTCTTACGATGGGTGAATGACATTTAATTCTATTGTGAGAGAACAACAATATTTTTTAGTCTTTTGTGTTCAAAATAGCCAGTAAATGTACAATAAAGGAAACACTCTTCCATTATACCTGAAAATGGCAGGTATATACTCAATGTCAAAGCCAAGGGTTCTTATGGATAAAAAAGGTAGAATAACAACACTGATAATGGCAATTTTGAACTCATTGTTTAGGAATATTAACCATTTATAAAAATAAAATGTATTTAATGATTGTTTCAAATATTGTATGTTAACTTTTTTAATACATTGCCATGTTAAAGATGTAGCTATTTTTCTAATCTACAGTTCAATGTAGCAAACGTCTGAGCCGCTAAAATTTAATGTCTTGTCTTAGAGTATGTTTGAATCATGTCAAAATGAAAGGCCAGGTTATTGTAAGCTATAACATATTTTTATCCATCAACTATCATAATGTGACATACTAAATTAGGAAATACAGTAGAACCTTGTTAATTCGAGTAATGTTTGTCTGTTCCCCTCAGAAAACCTCTAAAATCCAAAAAATAATATACCGATAATTCAAAGTGATTTTTACGCTTAATACAACCCCTAAAATTCAAATTTGCGCATACTCGAGCCTCTACAATTCGAATTTTGTTGCCGTATATCAAATTGTTACCTCAAAAATTCGAAGTCAACCTCTACAATTCAAACTGCGTAAACATAAGCCTCTGTAATTCGAATTCAGGACAAAAAGTATGCCTGTTGAAACATGAACTGACACTCTTATTGATGTAGGCTACTCTTATTGTATTGATGTTCATTAGTCTCCGTTCTTTCAAACTCTCTACACTTAAAACTGGGATCTCCATTATTAAAATTTTATTTATTCTGAGCTCTATAATTCAAACACTCTATATTTCAAACTTCCTAAAATTCTAAATATATTGTCTTTCCTCTGAAATTTGAATTAGCGAGGTTCTACTGTATAAACTCAATTGTAGTATATACCGGTACGTTATGAGAGGCTCGGCCAACTCCTGTTCTTGTTGAGTAAAAAAATGTTACAACTGATTCATCTAGATGAAATGTCTTGTCCAGTAGCCAAAGCCAACGGTAAAACTACAACAAAATGGTATTACTACAATTATAACCAAATACAAATTGGAAAACCACAGGATAAGATGCAAGCAGATCAATGTGGTTTTTGAATAATATTTTTGAAGTTTACGTTTAAAATTAATATAAAAAGGTTGGCAGTCCTTTTTATCCTAGAATTCGACCATCCACATAAAAGTCAGAGGCCTGACAATGGAAAGTATTAGGCAAAGCAATGAGTGAGCTGGCAGAGTACCTACACAAATGAACTGCACTGATAAATTTTAACTATCGGCATCAGGAAACGAACCCCCGTCATTGCTCCTTTGGTTCCATAGTTCACCACTATGTCCATACATAACATGGGAACCCTACACATCAATGTTTTCACATAATATTTTGTATCAAAATTAATTCTTTATTCCAGAAAACATTAAATATATAAAATAATATAATTTGTTCAGTAATTATCTAAAATCTAGTACAACCAAACTTATCTTAAACTTAAAGTAACAACTTAATGAGCTCTTATTCAACTGTTTACACTAAAAAACACTAAATACAAAAGTGCTATACACAAACAATAACATAAAACTGAAAGGCTGGGAGGGAATGAAACTCAAAGAGACAGTTTGATTTGTGGGAACGTGAGGGACGGAGTAGTTTATCCTCAAGAGTCTATCTGTAGTTGCTAAGTATATGTCAAACTGAGAAGCTGTGCAGCGCAGTCGAAACTGATGAGGGGAGGGGGGAACTGATAGACGAAGATCAGACACTGACATATCAACATCTCCTGCGATCACATAGCTCCTTATCTCAGCGACTGCAGAGTCAGAGATCTGATCAACAATCACAGAATAACATGAGAGCTGTAAACCTTCAAAAGTGGAACTGGAGACTTTGAAGAGCTTGAAGGATGTTAATTTAAAACTTAAAAACTTAAATTTAATAACATTTGAAAAAAGAGGGTTTAGAAAAAAAAGATACTTTACTTATTCTGGAAACCCATATGACTGCAGTTTATAAACATTTTGTATTGTTGCGTAGCATATTATTAGTAACATATGATATATCTTTTAACATAAAAATCAGTGGATATTTTATGACAGGCACAGGACTCTTGATTAAACCCTCATGCTATAAGTAGCATTGACTCATAGGGATTATAGAACATTATGCCATGAGTACAAAATAAACACTTCAAGTGTTCAATTAATGCAATCTACTTAGCGTATTGTACACAAACATTCAAGCACATAAACACTGCTTTTATTTTACAATTCAGAATACACTACATAAGCTTCTCTCATTAACGAAAACAGCTTGGAACCCAATTAGTAAAGATCAATAATTATGTTCTAGTGTGTCATAAATTAGCTTGGTTGGGTAGTGATTAAAAATAATACATTAATATATAACTAAATAAATTATTTTGATGGTTAATTATTAAAATTTTGTTGTCAGTTTTTATGTTAGTGGATCGTCGTAACAAATTTTGTTTAGCATTTATTTTTCACGGTAGGCTAATCAAGTACTATCATACAATTTACAAAAACAAGAAACAGCAAATCATATAAAGACATGTATAAATATATGGTATATCGCGAGCTTAAGTGGTACTGATATAATGAAGAAGTTAACGACTGAAAAGATGTTAACCACTCAATCGCAATGTGAATAAAGTCGACTGAAAAAAGTATACAGTAGAAGGTTTTTGCAGACATTGGCTGATACACATACAGGAATCAAGAGTATTTAAAAATAATTTAATTAGAGGTGCATTAACATATTCCCTATTCCTAATACAAAGAATTCAGCCATGTTATATCCTATGTGGGTGAAGATATGATCAGCCTGATTCACTTCAGAGCAAGCATATGGGGTTTTTTGTTCAAAGTCAAATATCATGCTTAAATCATAAACCTGTCTATTGTCGCACAATGGTTCTACTTACAAGGCAAACTATTTACTTTTCCTGTCTCTAGTAGAGTTGATGGCCTCCATGTCATACTTTAAACTTATAATTATTTCAACTAATACTTTCAGATTTTTATCGCATTATGTGTTTTGGATAGAGATTTTACAAAGTCTAATGTAAACTCTGATGATAAATAATTAATAAAGAAACTATCTCCAAATATAACCTCTTCCTTGGTTGAAAATTATCAGTCTACATCTAGTGGAGACTTATTTCCACCAAAGATATTCATCAGGATTCCTTTTAAACTTTATCAATAAAAGTGTATAATGATACTCATGCTGTACCTAGTCTACCCTAACTGACTGGGACTCTTCCAAAATTTCTCCCAGACAAGTCGGCAGATAGTTCACAAGACTCATTATTCCCTCTCAGGTCTTTTAGGATTACAATGGGGACTTCAAGTTCGGGATTTAGCCCACCCTCAAGCCTTATGAGATAAGTGGCTAGATTAAATAAATACAGATACAATTGGATTATTAAAAGGCATGAATGACTTGACATTCTAGTGTCTATCATCTTCCAAGAATAACTGGTTCCACAAAATGTCTTCATGGCTATGAAGGATTTCATTTCAGCATTTGTGTATAGCATTTTTAATTAAAAATGTTTTTGTCATATTAACTAAATGAAATTATCATGTGAATGATATAATGAATTATCATAAATAATGATAGTATCTAGTTCGGCTAAAACATAAAAATATAAAATTAAGAACTAAAAACTCATGGAGGGGTTTTCAATTTTATTCAATGTTAACTTCTTGTAGCTCATAAAAAGCTACCGAGCTGTTGTCCTGAGGAGTATGTTGAAGAAGTATACATGGTAAATACCTTATGTACTAATTGTACATTGATATGATATTGTGGTAAATGAGATAAAATATGCAAATTGAACTACAGAAACTTTCATTTTAAACCTGAAAAGATTAATTTACTGTTTAAGGAAAGAGGAAGAAACAATCTACCAAGAGAAAATAGTTGTAAAACTATCCAGCATTCTAATCACACTTAATGCTGCAATAGTTTTTTTTTAAGAACTTAAACAACCCTGTCTTGTATACCAACGTCCAACACACCTCTAGAATATGACGAATCATTAAGTAAAGGGGAGAGTCAATGTAATACAAGAATGAACAGTGTGTATAGATTAAATTATTTAGTGGCGAGCGGAATTATGAGAACCCTTCTCCCACCACCTTCGTACAGTACAGTCATCTAAAATATTGACGTTAGATCTTATTTAAATACATTTTTTCAGTAGGGGAAAAGTGGTGGGAAAAGTTGTCTGTCTCTCTCTTTGGCATCCTAATTGACACAATCTTTCCTAAAGTGATTAAATTTAGTACTTAATTATCTTACTACCTAACTGCCAGAGTTCCGAGGATAACTTGAGCAATCATTGAAAACATTATTAGTTTAAGTGATTTCAAATGATAAAAACGTAAGATTCGTTAATCTTTATGATTTTGAATGGAAATACAAAAAAATTAAAAATACAGGGAGCGGCAAAATGATCTGACGGTTTTCTTTGCCGCCCTGTCGAGCGAATGAGTGGCGTAGAGTGGTGGGAATAGGGGCGTTACAAAGCCAACGTGTGGACATTTTTAGTAGCCATGGAGCCGTGGGATAGCTGAGAAACATGTATTTGTAGTAGAAGTGTTTTTAAAAGTGGAAATTCCTGTGTAGCTGTTCAGTACACTTTTCAATATGGGTCCAAGGGGAAAAGTACCAACTCAAAAAACCATTTTGCTGTGAGTAGGTAACTTTAGAGCTACTAGTATAGCATTGAAAAAAGTCAACAGGCTGTTCAATGTCAGCTCGGACACCAGAGAGCGCCGAGAGAGTGATATACGCTGTGGAAGTTAGTCCTCAGCAGCCTAAACGTAAATAAGCTGCAGCTCTGCACTTGTCTGGCCGCTCAGTAGAAGAGTATTACAATACCATCTGCATTTTCATTCATACAAAATGGCAATCGTGCAACTGCAACAGTTGAAGCCCAGTGGTTATGCAAAGCGCATCTCTTTTTCAGAACAAGTAGTGATGACAAAGTTGTCATTATGAGTGACGAATCACACTTTCAATCACGCCACATAGTCTTTCTCACTCTCTTTAGTTTCACACCACATAGTCAGATTTTAGTTTCAATGCTGAACTAGTAGCTCTAAAGTTACCCACCTACAGCAAAATGGTGTTTCGAGTTGGGACTTTTCTTCATTGACCCACATTGAAACGTGTACTGAACAGCTACACAGGAATTTCCACTTTTAAAAACACTTCTACTACAAATTCATGGTGCTCAGCTGTCCCACGGCTCCGTGGCTACTAAAAATGTTCACACGTTGGCTTTGTAACGCCTCTATTCCCACCACCCTACGCCAATCACTCACTTGACAGGGCAGCAAAGAAAACCGTCAGATCATTTTGCCGCTCCCTGTACCACCAATCATTGAGTTAAAACCTACAAGTACCAAGCAAAAGTTCTTTTTGGTTTGTATCTTGAATGTAGTATTAAAAACTAGAATTGAATCAATTGAACTGAATTGGAATTGAATTAGTAGAGAAAATTGATGGTAAGAAAAATTATTTTAATTTTATTTTGTAAAACCAAACACACATCTGTATTCAAGACAGATTTTCTCATCTCTGTTGCCGTACATAAACCACAAATTTACAGACAAATATGAAGCGTGTAGGTAAAATGGTTTATACATTTTCTAGATGAAGATAAATATGAATATCATGCTGGAAATGGGCCGTCCATGTAAACTTAATTTGTCAAATTCATGTCTCTGTTCACTAATGTAAGCGTATTCCATCGGCCCCATCCATCACAAACTTTCAGCAAACATATTCATCCTCAATGTTTACAAGGTCAAAGATTAATGTCAAAACTTTACCACTCACTGCGCCATTGCCAGTCAACCTGATATTTACTAGAGTGTCCTGTTTTGTTAGTGACAACTTTTCTCGCCCATTTATATCTTGAGAAAATATTATTCTTAGAACATGTATCCTAGATTGATATAAAATGTGCGTTCGAAAACTATTATAAATTAAGTTTTTTATATAATACAATTTAAAACTTGGTTAAAAAAATGTGTGCTTCGTTGACATAATATATGAGGGTTTTCTATCTCATTACAGTACAGTAGACCCTTCTTATCCAGACACCTTTAACCAGACTTAAATTCAACCAAACTACACTTGGCAGAAGTGACATCTCTTTTAACGGACAATTTTTGTTAGCGACCAGACTGGATTGGCAGGAAGTGGGCGGTACTGAAACGACTTTTTTTGTGGGAAATATTCAATACCAGTGACGACTTGTGAATATAAAACCATTAAACTAGAACATAAGAAATTTATTTTTCCTTAGATTACAAAAGATAAATTTTTGATCTTCATTTTAGTTTTGTCACCATAGACTTTCTGGTCTGTGTAAAGTAGTCATAAACAAATAGTGAAACACTGTTATAAAATATAAGCCAGAATGATAAGATAGTGCAAGCTGATCTTGAATCTTGAATCAGTATAATCTGTCTTCAGTCCAAGACACTTCCACTAAGTGATGGTTCTAGGACCTTGACAAGGAGGGGGGGGGGTTAATAGGGGTATTTTCACACTGACATCCAGGAGGGGAGTCCGGAGGTCCCCCTCAAGATATTTTTCTATTCTCAAAGTCGTTTGTTGACTTTTGAAGCAATTTTTAATGTCTAGAACTGTGTCCAAAAACCTCCTTTACGCTTTAATGATGAAATGTATGTTTACGTTTATATTTCCAGGATTAATGGGGGGGGGGGGGTTAGCCCCTATAGCCCCCCTCGGAACCACCAGTGCTTCCACTTCTATGCTACTGTTTACCTGTTTGTCATCAAGGTACCAGGTGATGTTCACTGGGGGATGACCTCCCCTAGAACTACACCTGGCAGAGATGTCTTCCCCTTCATTATACACACTCTTGCTAGTCACTAGGGATGGTCTTGATACAGGGTCTTCTGAAACCCGCAGCACATTAATTTAGAAACATTGCACTATATTGTACTGCAAGCTTTGACAGTTGTTAGAAAAGGATATCTTATTTCCACGTCAAAGCTGTATCCTGTTTTAGATTATTAAAAATTAACACAGTTGAGGAAAAACTAAAAATACAGCTATTTTGTAAATTATAGAGTATTTTGAAATCACAACAACTATAAATAAAGAATTATATAGAATTTTTCAGTAGCATACTTCGTGAGTGAGTGGCTCGTTCAATTATAAGTTCTGTTTGAATAAAATATTGCTACCTACTGCTGGTTCATGAAAATGACTATTGTCTTTGGACTACTTCAAAATCCTTCAGGATAAGCGTTTTTCCCATAAGGCACATTGGGATGGCCATTAAGGGCCATCAGCTCCGCAATAATAAAAGAATCAATCAAAAGTAATCAACCTAACCCATTGTCAAGTTTTAGACAGCTGAATACATCGTACTCATATTTGTAGTTTGTTGATAATAATTGAAGTAAGTGTGATATAATATGTAAGAAAAAGAAATTCGTGGTTTTTTATGGTGTGTTCCTAGTGTGGTGGCTTTAGATGACCTAAAAATATTATCCAAAATAGGGTTTCTTCCTGAAACCATCCAGTTTTGAATATTCCATACTCCTAAACCCTCGAAACATGATACCTATTGCCTGCGGGAGGCCCTGTTTGCTTGTTTCTGAGTGTAACAACTGTTGCCTCACCTGTAACAGAGACAAAGTACGACTTGATGATGGTGTGGAACAGTGGTTCCTCAGTCACCTCACATTTGTAGATACCCGCCAAACCTCGATGCATCGGTCCAAGGGTCACCACTGACTTGTTGAGACTATTCATCTGTAACTATGGTTACAATGTGACTAGGCAGTTCTTATTGAAATACTTCCAGTTCTCTATCCTTTGCAAAAGAGGTTATCTATTTAAATGTTTAGGAAATAATTGTAAAGTTTGGCTTCTAGAGTAACTATAGTGTGATAGATATAAAAAAATGTCGAAAGGAGCAGAATTCCTCAACTATTTATTTCCATCAACTTGACATTACTCTTTCTTATTGGTGGTAATTGGTGGACAAAGGAGTAGTTTTCGGTGATGGAGAGTGTGTTGAACCCCAGATATTTAGTACATTTCTTTTTTGGATTAATGCTATTATCATTGTCATCAAGAAGACTTGGGTCCAGGGCCAAAGTAGTGTTTTCATATGGGATCTTCAAAAATCCACAGCTTATTCGAATTTACATTTATATATATACTTTAAAGGCCTATATGTCCTCAGGAATAATAATCATAGTAAGTTTCTGAATCAGTTTCTTCCAACCATAGGATGATGTTAAGAAGGAATAATACAAAATCAGTTTGTTGGTGTTTTCTTTGATTTATTATAAAAATTTAAAACATATTTGATATCATATGAAAATGCTAAACACAATATGGGTCTCCAATTTCATTGTCATGCAGAATAAATTAACTGCTGAATATTGCTTTAGAAAAATTCCCATTATGGAATAAGCTTTTACCATAGGTCTCATGGTAAGACCCAAAGCCAGGACTGATTTCCCAAAGAGGCCAAAAACACAATTTGTTGAAGTTTGTTTATATATATATATATCTCCATTGGTACAATAACTCAAGTAAAAATTATCTGCGTTTGATGGAATTTGGTACAAACGTGTAAACAAACCTATTTTTGGTGTGAACCGGTTGATGTACCAGCATGATCAGACTATGTAAATACTAGAGGTTTAAGAAGGGGGGGTGGGGGGTTATGGGGTGAAAGTTTGTTTTTCAAATTTTTGTCCTTCAAAAGTACACAATATAGTAGTTTATTCTTTCCAAAGCATTTTTTAGAGCTTCAAAAACGAATAATTTATTAGAGATATTGAAGCTTCGTTGTACGTCTAATATGTTTATGGAAAGATTCAAAATAACTAAATATTTAAAATTCCTTTGTTAATCTTATGGAAAATAAGGAAACTGTTGTAGTTTACTTGTTTATAGATGTGTTTCAATCAAATTTGGTACAATTATTTATTTCATACCAAGCCATTAACATTTAAATAAAAAAAAACCTTTGTGAAATTTCGTGTAGCAACAAATCAAAGTACTAACTAACCCTAAGGTCATTTAAATGGGGAATAAATATAACATGTTTTATGGAATATTTAAGTAGAAATCTGATCAGGCTAATGGAAAATGGTTTGCTGTGGCGGGGGTGTTAAAATATTTAATATGGATGTATCAAAATACATTATAAATAATTTTTGGCTTAAGAAAATAACTTTAAAACATTAAAAAGATTTATTTTCATACAAGTCTTGTGATTTGGATGATTTTTTATTGATCAATAACATTTGACTAGAAATAATATTTTTTTTCTTTTCTTTAAACAGCAGAACTCAATGAGCCACTACCAGTTTTACTAGGTTAGATGTGTAAATTTCCTTTAACGACAACCATCTATTTGCCGATACTTCCCTACAGGGAAATCTGCTTAAAGACATGCTGTTAAGGTCCTTAAGAGGCTAAAATTGAGGGAAAAGTTAACTTCATGATAAAATACATAAACTTCTACAATAGTTGCTGCTGGTATTGTACGAATATTTAAATGTTTATTTTTACCATTCTTATAATAAATTTGTATTCAAAAAACTGTAATCGTTAAAGGCATTTACATATTATTTAATACTATTTTTGTAAAATGTCTGATTCTGCAAGCTGTTAAGGGGGTTTAGTTAGACCAAACATCAAAGTCACAGTAACAGGTATCATGTTATAGTTAATTCATCAAAATGCTTGTTCCCAATATATCTGTGATTCTTTACCTCGAGTGTGGAGAATACATTCGTTTAAGGATTTTTAGATGCTGAGTTTATAGTATCACCAGTTTACAAGAACGTAAATTGGAATGTTTATTTAAATTGGTTTTTGTTTGGATGTAATAATATATTTACTGTATTATGTTCTGTTGCAGTTAAATTATCACTCTTTACTTTTATAAATGATTTGATATACGGTAAGTGAAGTTATAAGTGATCTACGCTCATTCATCAACCCAAACTAAAAACTTATACCCATAGAATTACTTTCCATCTGATAAAAATTGCAGTTTGTATAATAGTAGACTACACAAACATTTTTTCATTAGAAACTGCAACATCTAATTGTAACTATTACTGAATAATATTCTATAAATACCTGAAAATTTTGCATAAACATTCATCAAATAATTTCCATGCTATCTACTCTAGTATACTGTATATTGTTTTATTTTAAATTCAATGTCTTAAACTTCAATATAGTTATATACAGTATCAATTTAAGACCTCAGGTTTAAATGTTACAAATAATACTCATATTAGCAAAAGTTGTAAATAATTTTTTCCAAACTAACATGTACAGAAGCGTCTTGAAGAGGAAACATCATGGTAGGAGGTCTGTCCCGGGGAACGAAGCGGAAGAACTCTGTGTCCTCCAGGTACAGCTTGGCGGTGTAGAGAGAGTTTCTGTCAAGGTGGTAGGCACAAGTTAGTGTCAAGAAGCCTCCAGTCCTGACTGCTTCGGGAGCCTCAAGAGTTACATCTCTGAGAGATTCCAGTCCTGCAACAAGTTTTGAAACTATCAGTGCTGCTTTGATATCTCAAATGCTAAAAAAACTGTTATCTCTGGGTTTAACTTAAAGAGCAAATTGCAGAGCCAGAAGATATCAAGTGTATATGTCCAGTCGTTGAGGGTCGTTGTTTGTTAAGGAACACCAAGGGAACCCGGTTAGCTAAAGAACTTCTTGCTGCAAATGTGTCAGTACTTCCTGAACAGTGGTGTAGTGGTAAATTTTCCAATGTGGGAACATATCCCAATGTATATCCCCAACAGTGTGTGTGTGCGCGTGGGTGTGTGTGTGTGTCTGTCTGTATGTGTGGATGTGTACAGAGCTACAGACCGCACCTGAAGTCCAATTTTGATGACATTTTGTTGTAGGTACTAATCCATGGTATTTTCGAGTGTTTTTTAACCATGGGTGATATTTCCATAAAACCCCATAAGATAACAGGAAAAACCCCGAACGATTTTGATAAAAATTTAGTATATTACAGTATGTTATAGTCCCTTAAATTCTGAACAAAATGGTAGAACTCTCTTTGCTGAATAAATTACAGTCCAAAAGTTATAATAACTGATGTTATTTTCCCATAAAATCCCCATAAAATAAAATAAAAACGGATTTTTGAAAAAAAAAAACAGGTTTTGATAAAAATCATTATGTAATGGTCCTTTTAATTATTCTAAACTCAATAGTGCAAACCCCCTATGCTATGATAATTACGGTTCAAAAGTTATTGCAACTTTTGTGATTTTCCCTATAAAATAGTTACTCCCATCCCTCCGCTTACCCATGATAAATGTTGTTGACATGCTAATGGGAAAAAGTATGTGTCAGATTGCTGATACCGTTGATATAGATTGGCGTACAACAACGCCTCAATACATTTAATTGTTTAAGCTATACAAAATAGTTCAGAAAGAATGCTAAATTTTATGTTAAGAGTCAAAAATAGGAAAACCCAATGTTACCCCCAAAAACCCGTTCCCATGATTCAATTGTGCTGGTTCGCGAAATTGTTTGAGTAAATATAGGTTTACGTTTGTACTGAATTTCATCAAAGTCAGATGGTTTTATTTAAGTTTATATGCAGTTATATGAGTTCATTATATGTATATGAAACGGATGGTGTTTTTGGCCTCTGGGAACATCAAAACGAAGGGGTATATCGGGTATAGGTTTTACCATGAGACTTATGGTAGTAGCTTATTCCCTGAATGAGAAATTTGCTAAAAGTTCACATGGAATAATTTACACATAAACGCTTAAGATTGTTATGTATTCTGTCTTGAAGCGTCAAACAACATGTGTGTCTGTTTGAACTGTTTCCTGTGTACACAGGAGTTAAGTCTTTCCGGCTGACTAATTCTTGATATGATTCTACGTGATTATAGAGTACACAGACGCTGAAACCTGGTATGCAATGAATGATATGTACCTAATGAAAATTTGACGATAAGGGATAGTGTCCCCATTTTACTACACCTGTTTAGATGGAATGACTGTTTACGAAAAAATATAGATTGTTAACATACACTTATCAAACAAAAAACGTGGTATGTTTTCGATGTTTCAATAGATATTTTATAATTGGAATTTAACGCTAATTTTACTCATTCGGTATTTTTGCTATTACTGTACAATATGAATACCTACTGATAATAAATTAAACAGATGAAACCAGTGTATAGTGATTGAGTAACGTGTACTTTTTGTACACATAGACTTATTATTGAGCTCACTAAATATCCTTCTAGATGGATAGCCCTTTGAGTAATTATAAAAAGCGAATTGGAGGTTTATTTCACCTATGTGCTTAAGTTTTGACTCACATTCCCTCCGTGCAGCACTACACACCTCTATCCAATTTAATTTTTGTACGTATACCTACTTAAATATTTTGTCATGTGATATTTTATTTTGTTTGTGTTTATTTATGTTTCATATCTTAGCAGGTAGGTTTGTACAGTTATTGTAACTTTTATGTCATTTTTCCCGATATTTGCAAATTATTTTATTTTAAATATCACATTTTTTGTTTATTAATCTGAAATTTTCTGTTTTTTAAACAAAATTCTCTTTATATAAAGAAATTATGCCAAGTTTTGAAAGGGCGAGGAAACAACTATTTTGTTAAAAACCACAGAATGGTATATATCTGTGTAAATTAACATTTTGGGACATATTTTCACATTTTTAAATCCACTTTGATCCATATTATCCAAAGATAGTTTGCAGAATGAAAGGCACCCTGCATATGAATTGTAAATAATTAGTTATTAATTCACACAGACACGCTGTATATTCAGTTACAATAAACCTAAACTTGAGAATAATGTATGTGTATGATGTTGCATAATAGCATAATGTGTACACTAATATATACTAAGTAGACGTCATTCAATCACTATACACTAGTTTCGACTCTTTGATTTACTATCAGTAGATATATTCAGATCGTACAGCAATAAAAAAAAAAAAAAATTAAATAGCACAATTAACATTAAATTCCAATTAAGAACTATCAATTGAAACATCGAAAAGTTCACGATCAAAGTTGTTTATCCCAAATGTATTAACTTTTTGATTGTCATTGATCTTAGCTGTAACGATTCACACTTCACATATATATGTTTATTCCCGTAAAGATAATATCCGTAAAAGGGCGTCAGCTGTATTTAAACAGATTTGAATCACAATCTATATAATTAATACGCTACATGAAACTTTGTCGGTTGAACTCCTCCGCCACTTCTTAACCGATTTTATCCATTGACGTCTCATTGGAAAGAGCGTGTCGCGTAGATTTGCAAACTGGCCTTACATTTTTGAAAAAATCCCTTGGGATTTGCCCCAGTGGCTTTGAAAGTTCCCATGTTATCCTTATGAAGAACATAATTGTTTACATTTTGATCAGCTGTATAATTTAATTGCTGTTATTTATTTTTGAATTCAATGAAATGCGTTGAGTACATTTATTTACTATTTGAGTTTGTGTAAACATAACCCCCAAGACGGATCGTGTTAGTATGGTTGTATCTTAAATCTGTGTATTTATCGTTGTTTTTTGTCGCTATGACGGATCGTGTTAGCATGATTGTAATTTAAATTTGTGCATTCATCGTTGTTTTGTGTAGCTATAATTTGTTTATTTGTTTTTTTATGCCTCCGACGCAAAGACAACGAAACATAAACAGGAGGCGTAATCGTGATAACGACCGCAGCTACAGAAACAGAACAGTGTGGTGCGTAATAGGCTTAACTCATCACAGTCAGCACCTGACCCTGGACAAACTCAACCATTAGGTTAAAAATGCGCCCTTTAACACTACCCCAAAACGACTTTTCGTTCTCAATTAGTTCTCTATCATGACCTGTGTTGCCTGTACAGCGAGGCATTTTAAGAAGGAGAAAACCGGCCGGAATGCTTTAGGTTTATCAATAACGAAGATAAACATGACTCAGATAATAGTACACATACAGTACAGACCATACAGTACACACCGGTAATCTTATTGAGTTGAGTCTTTTAAACACATTGTAAATATGACTGTTATTCGTTTTGAAATAATTCCTGTAATACTTTGCAATTGCTCGAATTCGAGCAACATGTACACTAGTAATTATAAACCTGATAAAAATTTGTCCAAACATATTTTGATGAAGAGCATAAAAGATGGTTTGACGTAGATAAAGTGAGGACAAAAGGCAGCAGCGAAGGGAGCGTGCCAACACGACACAATAGCGGGCGTTTGTCTTCCAAAATTAGCTCGGTCACAATGGAAGCTTAAAATACGCCAAGCGTCTCCGTGATTCGGGAATCGTCACAGGTTGCTGCTACAAGCTGATAGTGTCATGTGTTTTGTCTGATATAACTACCAAGATTTAAATCGGCCGACGATGATCAATATGCGTAGGTACAACATGTAGGGAACAAAAATAAAAACATTTGCTTACAGTTATGAAATAATAAGCATTACTTAGTTTATGCTGAATATAATAGGGTACAATAATACAAGGTGCGTAGCATGTCTAGGAAAATTATCGTCTAGGCCACTATTATTTATAACCAAAACACTACACATACACTTTGGTCTACAGAGTTTGAAGTCAGATAAAAGAAAAATGACTGCTTCCGTTTAAGTCGAACGTCAAAGAGGGACTCATTTAGAGGATATACGGATATCTTAGTGTACCGTATGAGGTAAAGCTGTAATGTCAGAGTTTGAGCTAAACTACTAAAAAGGGGTAGACCTATGAGAAAAATTCCAATAAAAGGTGTAAGGTGTATGTAGACTGGACCTTACGAGATATGAGATGAGATTCTAAAGTGGATATGACTTAAATCATCATGTGAGGCTAAGAGCTAAAATTTGCAGTGACGCACTTAGAACATTATGAAAGTCGTCATGCATTACTTATTGCAGTAACACATTCTAAGTATATTACAAAACATAAATGTGTAAACGCAACATAATTGATCACAGGATTAAATGTAGTTTTTTAACGTCGATCAATTCAAACACTTGTTAGAGAAACATGTATACTAGAGACCACAGCTACAATTCAAAATGCTCCGCAAAATTGTCCATTCGATGGTTAAATGTTCTTTATACATGTTAATACTCTATGCAATAGACCTCGGGATATCAAAATCAAACAGTAAACTGGTGCCGGATCTAGGTCTTACCGTGCCACCTACGGTAATACAGTAGCTTCTTCCCTACACGGAAATTCTCTAAAATGTAATAAATTGATTATAACCTGTTAATTGAGTGACAGGCTAGTCACTCAGGCCAATGTCAGTCCGGCTAGTGAGTGCATCAATTTCTACCTTCAAACAGAGTCAATAATTCCCGCACCGCAGACATTTCCAGGAATACGGGTGCACGTTGAGGCAAAAGCCAGGTGTCATTAAAGGTTAATTTAACGCATCGATCCGTTGGTGGTTTATAAACTTTAACAGTTTTAAACAAAAAAATCCGTAATACCTGTAGCTATTCCTTGTAGCAAACAGAAGAGTTGTGAAACACGAGTTAGTTGATTGTTTGTTAAATAAATAATGCATTTAATATACTAAATTCCAAAAAAACTTTAGTTTTTTATTTTAAAATTATCAATGTTTTAATTGTCAAAAGATGACAGTTTGAGACGAATGGCCGATCTACACACATCAGTCCAGTCACAGTTCAGTCTCAGTTGCTTCCGCAATTCCTCAGTCAACTGCCAGTCAGTTGGTTTCAGTCAGTCATCCTTCATATATTTACAGTGATGTTACAGTCAAGAATCTTTAAGGGGAGCTGAACCGCCCATAAGAGCCCATGTTAAATTCTCCAAGTTTAGGTAAATTTTTCTCGGAAACTATTTAACCTACAGCTTTAGAAATTGTAGACAGTTAATATATGTGCTTCCAGAGTGTGTTGAACTAGAATTATGTTTCTATGGTTACAAATTTTATTTTTTTATATTTTTGAAAAATTCTATTTTTTTAGACAAAAAATATTTTTTTTTTATTTTTGTAATTTTTACTATTGATCCTATGGTGATAATTCTAGTTCCACATATTTGTAGTGATGTAAGGTACACTTGGTAAAAATTTCATCAAGATATGTTTATTACTTCTTGAGAAAAGTGTACCTTTATCATTAAAAAAACAAGTTTTCGGAAAGTCGCGAACAAAGATGACACTACTAGGCCACTAGATGGCCTTACTAGGTCTACTCCCTATGCTCAGAAAATTTGGTGCTTTACTTTGTTTTTTGTTTTTTTCTTGTTTTGGGAGGTGATACCTATTAATATATATATATTTTCTTTTTCAGGATAAAACAAAGAATCTAAAACTAAAATAAAATTTTTTTTAAAAATTAAAAAAATTTAGGTTCAGCTCCCCAATTATAACACAATATTCTACTAAATTTTCATCGTCCATCTTTTTGATTGTTACAAACAGTATGCCTACTTGAAATATACACAATCATTTAAAAAACAAAAAAAACTATTTTCTAACCTCAAAAATGTTCGTCAGGTGTTGAAACAACCCAAAAATATCGGTGGGAAGAAATCTGAAAATGACTGACGGAATTGCGACGGATGAATGTGGATAGCACAATAGAAAATACATTAAGGAATATTTGTTTTACTGTGACGTGACTGATGTGACTGAATTGTGCCGTGCCGGAACTGATGTGTGCGAATCAACCTTAATGCGTGAAACTGAATCACCACAATTAACATTTGTTAATCCATCATTTTCGTGTATTTTACCTTGTATCCAAGAGTTATCAGTGTGATGTTGATTCATGACAATGCTCTGTGTGTCAAGCACATTCAATTATTGACAAATAGAATAACAATGAAATGCACTAAAATATTACAATTATATTTGTTGGTTCAGCTTTTTATTTTAAGGAATACGTTGGTTTTTTTACATTTTTGGTTGACATTTTCATAACACCATTAAATTGCAAAGCACAATGACTGACGCTCAGCATTTTCATGAAGACTACGGCAATAGCTACTTCTCTGTAGGAAAATTCGAAAAAATTATAAAAATGAAAAACATCAGTAATTTCTGGTGTATTTACTTTATTTAAAACTAAAACAAAATAGTTTAACTAATTTTACTACCTTTAAAAATAAAGAACTTTCTACTTTCGCAATTCCTTAGCTTCTGTCAGAAATAATTAATCCTTCAATGACCTTAAGAAAAAGTTAGGACACAATACTGCCACTAGGCCATGATAAGACTCACACTATTCTAGTGTTCTAGTTTGGTTACTACTTGATATAAAATGTACAGTATACCAGCAATCGTGTTTATTTTATTTACAAAAGTTGGAATCAGTGATGCAAAGAACGGACGGATGAATGGCAACCAATGACATGCATTTTTTACTGTGTGGTTGCGGACGACTCAATATCCAAACCGTACCAGATCTGTCACTGCAATATTTTTAAATTTTGAGTATGAGTTTTTTTTTAATCTAAAGATTTAATTACAATTTTTGGTCAATTGAAAAATTTGGGCCCATAACATTTGTTATTGGTGACTGTATTGTAATGCATTTATAATCGGTTAACAAAGACTTGTACGGTTTCTTCATTGATAGTTAAAACCTAAAACCTTAAAAGTAAAGTACTATTAAATTCACAAACTTTAGTACAATTTTCCTTTGATTGCATTACGTTCTTTTGAGATGATTACATTTGTGAATTTTTCAGCTAAACAATTTAGAAAATGAAGTTGTAAAAGTTTTTAAATTGCATATAAAAATATAAAGTAAAATTTTAGATGGTTTCACAAAGCTTAAATTTTCTAACCTAAGTTCATAAAATCATGAAAATACAGACAGAAAAGTTTGTGTAGGGAAATATGTCATTTTGTCAAAGAAAAATTTTGTATGTATACTGTCAGTTTGTTTTTACCATGCTGTAACATTTAATTGACTTAAGTAATCACTCAAACACATACTTTTGCCTTAAATGTCCTAAGTAATTACTTATATAAACATATGAAAATCGTTTGTACACAATCCCATGAAAGTATTTTAGTTTATAAGCAGTTTAAAATACACGTGCAGTTCTTACTAAGAAGACTAACATTGGAATTTTACTGTGACGTGACTGATTTGACAGAATTTTGCCGTGCCGGAACTAATGTGTGCGAATCAACCTTAATGCGTGAAATTGAATCACCACAATTAACATTTGTTAATCCATCATTTTCATGTATTTTACCTTGTATCCAAGAGTTATCAGGGTATGCTGTTGGTTCATGACAATGCACTGTGCGTCAAGCATATCCAATTATTTGACAAAATAGAATAACAATGAAATTCACTAAAATATTGAATAATCGTAGGTTTAGGCATATACCTTTGTACCGAATTTCATCAAAATCGAATAATTTTAACATTGAACTCTATTGTTACTCCCCCCCTTATACATAGTATAAGGAGAGAGTATTTTTTCGTAAAAATTTAGGAGTTTGAGTTTTGGGTGGACATATCTGTTTTAGGTTGGTACCCCTGAACCAAACATAAAAGGATTTCGAAATGAAGTATGTCTGTGTGTCTGTATGTTGGTCTGTGTGTGTGGATGTGTACAGAGCAACAGAGGACACCTGTGGTCAGATTTTGATTTAATTTGGTATCAATGGTATCTCCAGGTGTTTTTTTTTATTTATTTTTGTTTGTTAAAGGTTATTTTCTAAAAGATAAAAATAAATTTACTTTGATTTAAATTTAGCATGTTGTATTCCTTATCTCTAAACAAAATGTTACAACCCCCATTGCTGTAAAAATTACAATACAAAAGTTATTGCTTCTTACACGATTTCCTCCATAAAATACCATAGTTACTCCAACCGCATATCCATTATAGCGTTGTTGACAAGCTAGTGGGAGAAAGTATGTGTCAGATTGCTGATACCGTTTATTTAGTTTAATTTCTAAATAAACATGTCATTTTTGTCACAATATTTTGTTGTATAGAGATTGCAGGCTTTTCATGCCAAAATCACTCACCAATATATGTATTCCAGGAATATAGTGGATGTATAAACGCTTTATTCCAGGAATTATGTATTTGACAATGGCAGCTCGCCGAAACATGCAACACTTTGACCAAGGTTACAATTTGGAACTGATTAAAGGTGATGCAAAACAATTAATCAACGAACAACAAATTTCAATAACTATTCAACTAGAAAACTTATAACAAATAACCTTTTAAAGACTAAGATGAATAAGGAAATAATGAACTTACCTTGAATCATGTAAACTAGAACGACCAAGAGAGTAGCCAACATTACAAAACTTGTGAACTTCTGTATAATATGAATATCACTTATAAAAAACCCAAATATCTAACTCTTAAAGCGTAAGTTATGGTTGTTTTCAATGTCGGAAAGTTTTAAGCGGGATTCTTCACTGTAAATTTGAATCAAGTGTCAAAATATGAAGTTAGAAATAGTTGTAGACTTATGCTAAATAGTGAGATTAATAATGAATAAACAATGTCTTATGACACTATTAGAACCTCTCTCGAAGTCAACATCTAAATGCGTTAGGTTCTCATCAAGAATTCATCACGCAAATAGTCTCATTTGAAAAACACAAAGGAAGTTATTTTTATCTTAAAATAACATTTCTGTCATAAAAGTTCCCAAAATAAACTTAGACAGGCACAGTTTTAGTCCCAAAACTTTCTGGGGAAAGTTTTAATAAGTTTTGTATTTTTTATGTTGCAGTTCTATATAAAAGACGTTCTTACCACATTTGTGATGGTAAATAGGATTTACAGTTTGTAAATAAAGTACTAAAAAGAAAACACAAAAAAAGATTTATACAAATAATACTTGCAATTATATCACTAAACCAACTGATGTTTTTTAAACTTGTGCTTAGTACAAATTTCACCTCAGTGTATTTCTTTATTTTAATGTGATTTATATGTCTCTACAAATTCTGGAACCAAGAAATTAATGCCTCGCCTTTTATAGAATAAGATAGTACAACGCTCAAATATGTTATGCTTTGATATATTCTATGCCTATATTCTAGGTTATCTGACAGTTTCTTCATTCACAACAACTACCATGTTTGTAGTAGTAGAACCTTGATAACAAGACTCTCATGGGGATTATCAAATAAGACTTGTTATCAAGGTTGACTTCTTATCGAGGTTTGCAATAACATGTAATTAAAGGGTAAAATAAATTCTAGGGATTTTGAAAATGACACTGGTTATCAAGGGTGACTTGTTTTCGAGGGTCTTGTTATCAAGGTTCCACGTAATTTACTACCATAAAACTTTAATTTATTTTAAAATGAGCCAAGAAATAGGCTCAACTTAGAAATTGTTTAAACATTTTTTATTTGACGTGACTGACTGGCCTTAGAAACTGTTATACAATAGATGTTTCTGTGAGAATATTTGTTTGAAAATATTTCCGTTAATCCTATAAACAGAACATAACTGACGGATTAAGGGAGTTAACAAATGAAGCATTGGTGATTCTAGTCTTAAGTTTACCCTGTAGCGAAATATGTTTAATTAATAAAGTAAATTATTCGCAAAAGATTAGAACTGCAATTCAAAGTATTAGTTATTACAAATTAAAAATATCTACGAACATGTTTGGGCGTCAAAGTTAAGAACTGTTCATGTAAGTAGTTTTGTTTAAGTTTAAATTTTAAATGTATACATAAATTGTTCGTTTGAATGTATATTGAGTTTTTAGGAATATTTTTACTTTTTATAGCCTGAAATTTTAGTTGGTAATTACATTTTTTATAAACAAAAGTTTTTGCCTTCAAAATCTTTAATAAGTTAGTTTTGAGTGACATTTTACGATTATAATTTGAATTTTTAGTTTAAGTAATATTTATATAAGTTGTAACGATTGACATGCACGAACCAATCGAATATATTGTTTTCAGTTCTCCTAGTGTCACACATTGCCACAGTCACACATGTCACAGTACACTTTGCCACAGTCTAGCTACGTCGCACGACCGCGTCGCGGACTCGACTGAGAGCGTCTATTCCCGTATCATCAACTCTCTAATATATCTTTCCTATCCCCCGTCGTGTCCTCCTAGAACATCTCATTACTGTGGAAATTAAGTGTTCTATATGACAATTAGTGATTTTACAATACAATTTATATATAAATTGTGCCAAATAAGACAAAAGATTAATTGCATACATTTTTACTTTCTCCTCCTATGGCCTATACAAAGTATATGGAGAAAGTATTGTTTTCGTCAAAATTTTCGAGTTTGAGTTTTGAGTGGATATATCCGTTTTGGGTCCCTCTGGAAAAAAAGTGTTTTTTAAAGTGACGTCTGTATGTGTGGATGTGTACAGAGTTACACACCTAACTCCTGTAGTTACACCTGTAGTCCGATTTTGATGAAATTTGGTATGTAGGTACTAATCCGTGGTATCCCCAGGGGTTTTTTTTAATTTGGATTTTTAATGGCAATTTTCCCATAAAAACCCATAAAATAACGGAAAAATAAGATTTACTCGAAAACTGCCCGAACGATTTTGATAAAAATTAAATATGTTGTAGCCCTTTAAATTCTGAACAAAATAGTATAACTCCCCCATTCCTGTATAATTACGGCCCAAATGTTATTGTAACTTAGGCTATGCTATTTTCCTATAAAACCTCTATAATATAACAGAAAAATGGATTTTCGAAAAAGCAGGCATTGATACAAATTAGTATGTCATGGCCCTTATAATTGTTCAAAGCTGCAATTGCTAGAGTAAAGAGTTAAGTAGCTTAGTTATTTTCAGCTATTGAAAAGGAACAGTTTGTCACACATATATGTAACAGTTTGTATACCTTTAGTTGTTCTATTTTTGTAACTAATATTAAATAATATTTTCACACTAAAAATAAACAATATTTCGGTTCTCTTAGTCCTTCATACTCACATCAGAAATGCAGGAAACTGTTTGGCGAAAAGGGTGGATCACTGAAAATTCCCCGCAATCTACAGGCACGTAGGTCTGAGTCTGGTAATTTGATGTACTTTAGACGTAAATTTACTTTATTCGCTTATTTGAAACACGGTTATTAAATTTACAATTTATTGCTATTTAACTTAGCAGGAAATCACATATTCATCCATATTTGATTTTCAAATTTCAATCTATGGCTTTTTAATCAGTTGGTCTGTTATAATTGTGTTGTAAAGTTAATTTATGTTTCATATATATAACCAGAAGATTGTTATTTGTTATGATTTAATTTAGAAGGCATGATGAGATGCTCATCAACAATAGATGATGAACATTATCAGAGTTTGGGTTCGAGTAACTTTAAGATCGTTCCTGTAATTTTATCAATTAATAAATTATCTATTATTCAATTATTTGGACTATTTCATGCTATAATAATATTAGTGCGTTCAGTACGCAAGGAGATTATACGATGGCATCCCGGGGTTGTTACTAAGATCATAAGTCCTGTCACATATTTGGTGAAAGTAGAAGGCCGGACAAGGTTTGCACATGCTGACCACCTTAGAACAAGTCACTTGAAAAGCGAGGAAGAAGAGGACGATATCACTGTACAATTTCCAAGAGAAATCTATTCACGTCCTAAAGAGATAACGTTACAACATGACGATGCAGCAAAATCTCCATAATCACATACCAGACCAATATCTCCTAAATGTTCATCAACCAATATCCCTCTTACTACAAACAATGACACACTATCAGATGCTGTCTTTCGACGCTCTCAAAGAACCTGCAGAATGCCAGCAAAATTAGATCTATAAACAAATTCCTCCCTTTGTTTCAATATTTTTTTTAATAATTTTATTTTACGTTGGAAGGAGTTGTTGTAAAGTTAATTTATGTTTGATATATATAACCAGAAGATTTGTTATTTGTTATGATTTAATTTAGAAGGCATGAGGAGATGCTCACAAACAATAGATGATGAACATTATCAGAGTTTGGGTTCGAGTAACTTTAAGATCGTTCCTGTAATTTTATCAATTAATAAATGATCTATTATTCAATTATTTGGACTATTTCATGCTATAATAAATTGTTACCTATGACTCTGATTGTAATGACGGTCAAAGATGAGTCCAGGATCCAAACAGCCTAATATATTATCAGCCTTAAATTGATATATGTATATAAATGTAAAATATGTAATGTGTTATAACCAAGTGAATGTGTAAAATGGAAGATTTAAAATTAAACTAAGAAGACGAGACCATTAACCTACTTTTTGCTCTAAAAAAGAGTTTGATTGCTTCATTTCATTATAAGTTTTATATTGCTGTCCAAAACGTGTTTAGGTTATCATTAGCGTTTAAAACCTGCAGCGTTGTAGGCTGAAGTTTAAACATACTATCTGATCAATAAAAACATCAACCTGACTTCATTATCCTTCGCCATAATAGTACAATACCTAACATAATTTGGATAATCTTAACATATTGTACAAGTCTTGTGTAATGTGTATATCGTTCTTAAACTCTTGTTTGAAAATAATATTTTTCGGTTATGTCGGTTATTTGTATACTGGTCATTGATAATGTGGTTATGCATAATTCAAACTATGTAAGCTTAAAATATTTCCTCCACGAGAATGACATAGAATACGAAAACTTTAGAAAACAACAGAACTATCAGTAAGTGAACAAACTTAAAAGTTTGAACCTTAACAATTCGTATTTTAAATTTACATTTGACCTTTTCTCCGGTTGTTTTATTGTAAATTAAATGAACTAACGTACTTGAACTAATTTAATTTGATTTGAATTACAGACGTTAATGTATCGCAAATCACTGCGTTTTGGTTTTTAAGGTTAGCCTATATTTATTGTATACTGAGTAGAGAGCAACGGCTTTCAAATAAACTGGAATAGCTTCGTCCTGATCAATGTTTAGTGGTAAATGTAACAAATACTTATTAAGAGCTAAAGGAAGAAAGTCCAAATTATGTCTAGAGTTTTAGTTCTCTTTATTTTAAAAGTAAATTTTACTCTCAACGACAAACCTTACTTGAAAGAACTAACATAAGCTCATTTTTGTTAGTATTTAAATTATAATAATAATTAGAACAATTTAATTTCGTGTGTTGCCTTCCGGATTACTTCTCAAATAATATTACAAGAGGTTAAATTACCTTACTTCCGTCAAAGTAATACTCATAAATAGTACTACGTAATACTTCAGGATTAATTTTACGGAAATAAGGTAATTTAACCTCTTGTAATATAATTAGAGCAATTTTCAGATAAGCTGGAATTTCAACCTTTCGTATTCGAAATTAATTATTTTATTCTTACGTGCTATTTATTGGTCAAATATTATAAGTCTAGTGTTTAAGCCCCTTATTTTGCAAGCAATAACTAAAATATACGAATTTATAATTCCAAGTAAATAGTCATGAAACGTGATAAAGATCTTGCCAGTGTCAAGGACACATGTGTTCACAGGTTTTCTCTCTTCGAGTAATTACTATTCCATTCCCGACATTCAATTCAGGATTTCCATTCAATTACGTTTATTCGATTTCTCTCTATTTGTGCCAGTTATTCAAGAATTTGGTGTAGAGAGTGTATCGTAGGATGTACCAAAGTCATGTTCGTATTCCATACATTTACAGAAAGATCTTACGAAGGAAAGAATTTACATTTGTTTGGAATGTCACGGAAATTGTAGCTTCATGTATTGCCTCGACAACGCATACGTTGATGTATACAGAGTTTTTTGTAAGAGCAACTTGATTTACAAGAATGGAAATTCATTCAATTTATAGTAAAAAAGAATCCCTCTTATCCGGACAACTTTTAACCGGACATCGGTTTAACCGGACTAAACTCGGACAATTTTTATCAGCAGATTGGTTTAACCGGACCAGATCGGCAGGAAGTGGGCGGTACTGAATCGACTGTTCCCGTGGGAAAGATTTGGGACAAGTGATCACGTGTCTAAATACAATGCTCTCCCAAATTCAAGTGAAATACTGTGTACAGTATGCATTTAAACGGTCCGTTTTAACGAGTTTTTAGGGACGTCGGTTTAACCGGAAAACCGTTATCCGGACTGGCCTCAGTCCCGAGGAGTCCGGATAGGAGGGATCCACTTATCCAAAAAAGTTGGTTATTTTTGTGCTCATTATCACACACATAGCAGATTACTGTACCCTCTTACTTCGTCTTGCTTTTTCAATTTTTCACACTCTAGTTAAAAAAAATAAGAACTTGTAAGTAAGCACACATCAGCCTTATATCAAATGTCATATCAGCTGATAAAACCTTTTATCAGCTGTTTTTGTTTACGTTTGAAAACGATGACTGTTAATGTTTTACTTTTGTTGACGGGCTAACTTATAAAGCTATGGAGTAATTTGAAGAATTATATATGTTTTAATATATGAAAATAATGTTGAGTTTGTAAATTTATATAATAGTACTGTACAAAAAAATATTTGAGAGAATAAACCAAAAACATTTGCTTACGAATACTAGCTAATAAATTCAAACAAAAATATAAATGAAAAAGTAAACCGTTTTCCCCTAGTGAATTAGAAATAAAATAAAATACCGGGTACAAGATGTTTTATGTTTTATGGTACATGTAAAACAATTGTATGTGGAATTCGTGCCCAAGAATAGTTCCGGAGTGCAAGTTTAAGCATTAGTTACTCAAATAGCTTCCTTGAATCAGTGCATCAAAGGCTTGTATTTCCGTTTCTCTTCTTCTTCTTCAATCAGCTGATATTCATTGTTAGATCGGGTTCAGGGCTTTCACAAGGTTAATCAAGCAAAGAAACAAACATAGTTTTTAACAATGAATCTATGAGCATTAAATACTAGAGCTCAATAATTGCACTTTGCAAGATTCAATAACGAATATTGATATAATTCAATATAACCTGTCTTAGTTGTCAAAATGTGTGTCTTTTATTGAAAGAAGTAATTAAAATCCTAAGTTATATTAATGATCTTAGACAATTAATGAATAGGCTAATTT